GGGTTTTCTTATGTCCTCTGGGCTCCCAATAAAAAATGCAGGGCTTCCCTGGTGGTGCAGTGGTTAAGAATCCACCTGCCAATGCAGGGAACACAGGTTCAAGCCCTGGTCTGGGCGAACATGCCTCGGAGCAACTAAGCCCATGCACCACAACTACTGAGCCTGCGCTCTAGAGCCCACGCCCCTAAAGCCTGTGCTCTGCAACAAGAGAAGCCACTGCAGTGAGAAGCCCGCGCACCGCAACAAAGACCAGATCCCACTTGCCACAACTAGAGAAAGCCCGCGCACAGCAACGAAGACCCAATACAGCCAAAAATAAATAAATAAATAATTGTGGTTTTTGTTTTTGTTTTTTTCGGTACGCATGCCTCTCACCGTTGTGGCCTCTCCCGTTGCAGAGCACAGGCTCCGGACGCGCAGGCTCAGCGGCCATGGCTCACGGGCCCAGCCGCTACGCGGCATGTGGGATCCTCCCGGACCGGGGCACGAACCCGTGTCCCCTGCATTGGCAGGCAGACTCTCAACCACTGCGCCACCAGGGAAGCCCAATAATTGTTTCTAAAAATGCTGAAAAAAATCCATTTATTTTAAAAAAAAAAAAAAAGGTCAACAAATAAACTACCTTCTTATTGCTATTCTCTTACCTTCTGAAATTGCTATCATTAAAATTGAGGTTCAGGGCTTCCCTGGTGGCGCAGTGGTTGGGAGTCCGCCTGCCAATGCAGGGGACATGGGTTCGTGCCCCGGTCCGGGAAGATCCCACATGCCGCGGAGCGGCTGGGCCCGTGAGCCATGGCCGCTGGGCCTGCGCGTCCGGAGCCTGTGCTCCGCAACGGGAGAGGCCGCGGCAGTGAGAGGCCCGCGTACCACAAAGAAAAAAAAAAAAAAAATTGAGGTTCAGACCAAAAGGACTGAACCTGAGTTCCAGGAATGCCCTAGGTGACTTTCATGCAGACAGCAGCAACAGAGTCTATAAATATTATGGCACTGGGAATTCCCTGGTGGTCCAATGGTTAAGACTGGGTGCTTTCACTGTGGTGGCCCAGGTTCAGTCCCTGGTAGGGGAACTAACATCTCGCAAGCTGCACGGAGCAGCCAGTAAATAAATAAGGCACATATGGATGAAGGCCACTCTGCTTCAGCAAAAAATGACCCCTCATTGCCTGACTGGCCATCCTGATGTCCTTGTAACATGGCACCAGTCTGCTCCTGAACAGAGACATTTTTTTTTTAATTTTTTTTTTCTTTTTTGGCAACACCATGGGCGGCTTGTGAGATCTCAGTTCCCCCGCCAGGGATTGAATCCTGGCCCTCGGCAATGAAAGCACAGAGTCCCAACCACTGGTCTGCCAGGGAATTCCCTGAACAGAGAAATTAAGGTGCACAAACAATGGTTGTAAATTAAATGAACAATTGGGGCTATGGGAAACCCAGGATGGCCACTTCCCAGCTCCACGGCAAACCCCATTTTTCAGTTTTTGCATCCCTTCACCCATCACAGTGCAGTTTTTTTTGGTTTTTTTTGCGGTACGCAGGCCTCTCACTGTTGTGGCCTCTCCCGCTGCGGAGCACAGGCTCCGGACGCGCAGGCTCAGCAGCCATGGCTCACGGGCCCAGCCGCTCCGCGACATGTGGGATCTTCCCGGACCGGGGCACGAACCCGTGTCCCCTGCATCGGCAGGCGGACTCTCCACCACTGAGCCACCAGGGAAGCCCCACAGTGCATTTAAGATGACTCAAATGATGAATAGACATTGGTGGGGAGACACAAAATTACAAAAACAGTTTACCACCAATGTTTGACCTGTCAGGTCCCTAACACTGGAAAAACTATTTTTGTTCCCGGAGGCCTCAGACCTCCTCCCTCTGGACCCTCTGAGCACCTACAGCTGGATTTCATTCAACTGCCACCTAGTATGGGTTATCAGTAAGTTCTTGTTATTGTATGTATATTTTCAGGATGGGTTGAAGCCTTCCCTTGCCACAAGGCTGATGCCCTCACAATGGCAAAGAAGCTGTTAGAAAATGTGTTTACCAGGTGAGGTATACCTTCCACAATCTCCAGTGATTGAGGCATGGACTTCACTGGGCAAACCAGACAAGGCTTAATGAAAACCGTGCAAACTTCTTGGAATTATCACTTTCCCTATCACCCTCAATCATCAGGCAAGGTAGAGAGAACTAATGAGATCCTCAAAAATCTCTAAACTTGCTAAAACTAGTGGACTCCCTTGGCCTAAGGTATTGCCTCTGGCCATGCCAACTGTTCCCAGTACCCCCTGTGGAAAACACAGACTCACTGCACATGGAATAGTCACCAGGAGACCAGTGTCCATTGGTATACACCTTTCTGCTGATTCCTTATTATCTCATGTTAGTATGACCACCTACTATAAGTCTTTCATGTCTTATGCCTATCATCGACAGGTTAAAGAAGCCTTCCAAGATCCCAGTTCGAAGGATTCTGTTGGTCACAGTCTGGAGCCTGGTGACTGGGTATTATGGAAACGTCATCAGAGGAAGACAGCCCTCAAGCCCATTGGAAGAGACCACACCAAGTGCTCCTAACCACTGACACTGCTGCAAAACTAGAAGGCATTGAGCCTTGGGTACACATCTCACAGCTAAGGAAGGCTCCACCAGACATCTAGTCCTGTACAGACGCTGGAGACCTCTGAATGTAACTGATAAGGAAGAGAAGCAGCTGACATCAAGGTGGACTGCTTCTGTCCCAGACGCCAGCTATAGACCATACTTGAACTAAACGTGAAACCCTTTCTCCTTTTTCTTTTCTTTACTCTGGTATTGACCTGGAAAGATGTTTTCACCCTTCTCTCCCAGGCCATTGCTAAGGGAGGTAAGCTTTCAGACTGCTGGATTTGTCAACAAAGATTCCAATCTATCCATGATGCCAGAGACCCCCTGGTCCTTCCTGTGACCAATTTCTCTTCTGTTCTCAAAGTCACAGAAAACTACAATCGAACCCCCTAAAAATTTCTTATGCGGTTCAACTTGTACAGCCAGAACCACCTATGCCTTGTTGTTTCCTTTCTCCCATCATAACTTACTCAGTTAGACACAATTACCTAGTAAATCTTAGTGCATTTGCACCCCCATGTTCCCATGATAATCTAGATCAGATTTGCCCCCAATCACTAAGAGATCTCACCAGCAGCAACCATCTTTGCAAGGCATTTAGAACAACACTTTATTTCAGGATGGGAGATTCTCTTCCCATACGTGCTGAAAACCTGACACCTGGTTGGAATGGGTAAACGCAGTAATTCCTGTGACTGAATCCATTAACAGTACCTCCTTAACGGGAATGGTTTGTGTCCCCATAGGGTCTGTCTTTGTCCATGGTGGTTATCATTCTCTTTGGGCCTCTGAATGCCTAGATAGCCAGTGCACAGGGGGGCAATACGTCTTAGGTTATGTAACTGGGCCCCTAACATTCCACAGGGGAACTAAGACACCTCATTAGTCAAATCCCCTGGATTTACATCATCAAGTTAAAAATAACGATGAGCGGGACTTCCCTGGTGGTCCAGTCGCTAAGACTCCACGCTGCCAAGGCAGGAGGCCCGGGTTCGATCCCTGGTCAGGGAACTGGGAACTAGATCCCACATGCTACATGCTACAAGGAAGATCCCACATGCCGCAACTAAGACCCACCGCAGCCAAATAAGTAAATAAATAAATATTTTTTAAAAAATAACGATGAGGATTTCATGACTCAGGATTCATTTCCTTCGGCAGGGCCATCAGCCCAAGAAAGATCCTTAGATTCTCTGGCCAAAGTTGTTCTTTATAATAGAATAGCCCTTGATTATCTTTTAGCTGAGCAAGGAGTGTCTATGCTGTGGTCAATACCACCTGCTGCACCTGGATTAACCCTTCTGGATTAGCTGAAACTCTATTATATAAAATCACTGAGCAAGCCAGTTGGCTTAAGAAGGTGACTCCTAAAAAAAAAAAAAGAAGGTGACTCCTTCAACGGGAACTTTCTTTTTTTAGGAGGGATCAAACCCGTGCCCACTGCATTGGAAGCGTGCAGTCCTAACCACTGGACCCCCAGGGAATTCCCAATGGGAACTTTCTTTGACGTATTTGATTTTGCCTGGTTTGGATCCTGGGGACCATGGCTCCGAAGTGCACTCCAAACATAGTGAATTATCCTGTTTATTATAATAATCTCCCTGCTGCACTTAATCTCTCAAAAGCTTTAAATGCATACTCACTGCCACTAACCACCAAGCAAAAGATCTCCTTAAGACTCGAACATCAGAAAAGTAACAAAAAAATGACCAACTTAAAAACTGTGAACCTGAAGCCAGCCAGGACCTGTGACTATCACAGGGGTTAAGCAAAAATATCGTAACTTCTGGTTAGCACACAAAGGAACAAGAAAAACTGCAAGAACCTCAGAGCAGTAGCTGAGAGTGGCCCTCATGCCTTAAGTTTTGCTCACATCTCTCAGTTAAGCTGAGAGTCTGATTAAGGTGGGGAGGGTGGGAGGAGGGGGCATTGTTAAAGAGAAAACCACAGGCCAAAAATGGAGTCCCTTATGCTAGGCCAAGCAACCAAAGCAGGGCTCAATACCTAACCTAACCGAAGCTTCAACCTCCTCCAGAAATGTAGTCTTAACCGGTCAGTCAGGAATTTTCTGGTCAGCACCAATGAGGTATTCGGTCACATAGGTCCTCTCCCCTTTCCATTCTCCAAAAGGAAGACGAGGTAACCCCACCTAATAAGACCCTTTTTCCCCCAAAAGGGAAATGACCTAATCTGAAATCACCCTTTTTTTCTGATTATGACTTCCTCGCCTTGCCTTTAAAAAACTTTTCCCTTTCTGTAGCCCTTTAGCGCTCCCCTCTACTTGCTAGATGGGATGCTGCCCAATTCATGAATCATTTGATAAATCCAATTATATCTTTAAATTTTAGAGATGAATTTTGGTTTTTTTTGCTTTTTAACACCATGACAACTGGGATCCTCACCTCAGCACTTTGTTGGGCCTCCGTGGGTCCGACATATTGTTCGCGGACATAGCGAGTCGCGCCTCTTCCGCTGCGGGAGTCTCAGCTTCCGGCGGCTTCCGGCGGCTTCCAGCAGGGAAACGGAGGATGGCTTTTAGAGTAACACCCTCAGCCCTCGCGCTTCCGTTCCTGCCGGCGGGAGCTGGAACTCCCCCCATCCAGGGGACAGAGAATTCGAAGAAGCCAAAAATGTTCCAAGAAAACAGGATGTGGGGAAAGAAACCGAGACGCTGGAAACAAGCTTCAGTGTTTCCAGCGCTTTCTCCAAAAAGCCTAAACGTTGAACCCGGAAGTGAGAAATAGGAAGTAGACTGTGGAGGACAATAATAAGGTTACACCAAAGCGTGGGTTCCCAGGGCAGAAAGCCCCGGTGCAAGCTACTGTACGGTGGCGAGGAAGGGAGGGCGGAGCAATGGCTTTCCCGGAGCCAAAACCGCGGGGCCCGGAGCTGCCTCGGAAGCTGTTGAAGACGTTGGACTGCGGGCAGAGGGCGGTGCGAGCCGTGCGATTTAATGGTGAGCGCCCTTATCGTCATTCCGGGTCCTACCTCCGCCTCCTGAAGTCGGCGGCCCAGTAACCCCCTCGTGGTGTTCCCCAGTGGATGGCAATTACTGTCTGACTTGCGGCAGCGACAAGACCCTGAAGCTGTGGAGCCCGCTGCGAGGGACGCTACTGCGGACGTACAGCGGCCACGGCTACGAGGTGCTGGACGCGGCAGGGTGAGCCGGGGGCCAGAGCGGGATCGAGGCGCTGAGGCAGGTATCAGAGGTAGACGCTGATCTTCCCTGTTCTGCTCTCTAGCTCCTTTGACAACAGCAGTCTCTGCTCCGGCGGCGGGGACAAGGCAGTGGTGCTGTGGGATGTGGCATCAGGGCAGGTCGTGCGTAAATTCCGGGGCCACGCGGGGGTGAGTGCAAGCAAGAAAGGGCCTCGTTAGAACGGACCGGAATTGCGTGTAGGTGGTGACAGGCACCCACCCCTCCCCACGCAATTACAGCGCAAGGATCCTTCCCCACGGCCCCGCCTTCACCAAGCCCTGTCCTTGCAGTTCCTCCAAAAACTTTCACCTTCCCTACCCCTAGCCTTTTCCCTTGCTTTAACTTGCACTGGGAGCCCTGCTTTTATCCCCATCCTCCAAAGTCCAGCCTTCTCTAAGCTGCTGTTCCTGTTTTGCAGAAGGTGAACACAGTGCAGTTTAATGAAGAGGCCACAGTTATCCTGTCTGGTGAGTCCGGGGCCTAGGCAGGTGGGCGCAGGGGGCTGCCCCGGCCCCCCCAAACCTGATCCACTTTCATGCTGACCTCACAGGCTCTATCGATTCCACCATCCGCTGCTGGGACTGCCGCTCACGGAGACCTGAGCCCATACAGACGCTGGACGAAGCCAAGGATGGCATATCCAGCGTGAAGGTGTCAGACCATGAGGTCCTCGCAGGGTGAGTGGGACCAGGACCTTGCCCCTCCCCAGGTGCCACTGGGGATCATAGCTGTCTCTGTACTTAGATTAAAATCTACTCTCAAAAAAAAAAAAAAAATCTACTCTCCTCACTGCACTCACAAGGCCTTGCATGGTCTGGTCTCTGTTGTGCTCTCAGTTTTTATTCATTCCCAGGCTCATTTCTGTTAAATATGCCACACATGCTCCCACCCCAGGACCGACTTTTGCAATTGCTCTTCCTCTGCCTGGGCTACCCTTCTACTACTTATTCCGAGTGTGTTTGAGCACCACCTGCAGGTCACGTTTTCAGTCAATGAGCATACAGGAGTTCAAAGATAGGAAAACAAGGAAGAACCCCGCTTACCTAGAGTTGATGTTCTACCTGCAGGAGACAATTAAAAAAATATATATTCCCATGCAGGGCTGCCCAAATGTTGCCACAACCTGAGGGAGTGCCGATACCACCACTGGGGGCATTTGGGCTGCATGGCCTGGTGGCCTACCCAGTTCCCACACATCCCCCCTTGGACTGCATATGGCTGGCTCCTTCTCATCTTCAAGTACCAAGTCAAACGTCACCTCCTTGGGGACCTGATTACCCTCAGTCAGCAAGGCTCCACGTTGGCAGCAAGTGCTCCTGGCTTGGTAGCAGCTGTGTCCCAAGCTCCCACACAGGGTGTAGCCCAGAGAAGGAGCTCAGTATAAATCAGAAACAGATGCAGTGGGACCTGATTGGCCCCTGGGGCTGAGTCTCAAAGGCAGTGCCTCAGAATTCCACTCGTGAATTCACTTCAATGCATGTTTTCTGTGGCCAGTCCTGAACATGACATGACAGTGAAGGGTGCCCAGGAAGGGCAGGCACCCAGCCTTGCTCTCAGGGCCCTGGCCAGGTGAGAGGGTACAGGAACACCAAAGCTGGAGCCCTGGACCTACTGGCCCCTGTGATGCTTCAGCTGGATCCATCCTCTCTTGTAGCTCCGTAGATGGCCGGGTGAGGCGCTATGACCTGAGGATGGGGCAACTCTTCTCAGACTACGTGGGCAGTGAGTGTGGCTGGGGCTGTGAGGCAGGCAGGGAAGGTGGGGGCAGCACGGGAGACCCCAGCCTGACCTGCTTTCCCACCCCTCCCCTTCCCCCAGGCCCCATCACCTGCACCTGCTTCAGCCGGGACGGGCAGTGCACCCTGGTGTCCAGCCTGGACTCCACGTTGCGGCTTCTAGACAAGGACACAGGGGAGCTGCTGGGCGAGTGAGTCCTCAGGGCTGTGGGGCCCCTCCCCCACTCCCAGTAAGGCCCCAAACCCCCACTGATGCCACTCACACCCAGGTACACGGGCCATAAGAACCAGGAGTACAAGCTGGACTGCTGCCTGAGCGAACGCGACACGCACGTGGTCAGCTGCTCCGAGGATGGGAAGGTGTTCTTCTGGGACCTGGTAGAGGTGAGCCTCTGCACGGGGGCCCTGCCCGGTCCTTACCTGAGTCACTCCCAGGCCTTTATAAGGGAGTGCTGTTAGAACTGGGGGCTGGAAGGAGGAGTGAGTGAGGGGATGAGGCGAGAACATTCCTGGCAAAGGGCACAGCATGTGCTAAGGCTCGGGGTTGTGGCACACACGCACTGGTCAGGAGATAGAAGCACTTTGGATGGCACTGGCGGCAGCAGAATCCAGGCCAGGCAGGGCCACTGGGACTGACCCTGGGGTAGGAGGAGCGGATAGTGGCATCTGACCTCAGGGGAGACAGGGCTGTAGTTGTTCAGGAAATCTGAGCTACCCCTGAGCATCCCTGTGGTATCCAGCCCCCAAGCCCTGTGGGCCCTGTGGGCCCTGTCCTGATGTGTCTCAGCCTGTTGGAGGTGTCAGGATGCGAACTGACCAGCCAGGCGTAGTGGGGTCAGAGCTGGGGCTTGGCCAGAGAAGTAAGCCTCCTAAGAGGATGGAGGGAACCAGGGGGCCCTGGAGAGTCCAGGGGCCAGCTCTCCCTCTGGGAACTAAGAAGGTGCCAACGTTCTGCCTACTTCTCGAGGTTCCTGTAGACCAGAAGTCACCCTGAAGGGGAGGGCACGTGAAGGGACACTTTCCAGGTGGAAAGAGGAATGGTGGCCTCCTTGAAGAACTGTGTTTGTTGAGCTGTGTCTGCAGGGTGATGAAGGGAGCAGGCATTGAGGCTATCAAGTGGGCGGGTGAAGCCCAGATGGCGGCGGAGGGGGAGGGAAGCTGGGACCCACATGTGACCGGCCGTGGAGGAGGGTAGTGGCTGTGAAGGTGGAGAGAATCAGCAATCTCTGGGCATGGTCTAAAGGTAGAACCAAGAGGATTTACCGACAAAGGGATGTGAGATGTAAGAGAAAGATTCAAGATGTTTGACCTGAGCACCCAGAAGGACGGAGTGACTGAGGGGCTCAGTTTGTGGCTGGTTAAATTTACAGTGTCTCGGAAGCACTTAGACGCATGTGGCTGAGAGCGGGGGAGAAGCAGCTGAGGGGAGGGAGACACACTGGTGACACTCCCAACCCCCTCACTCCACAGGGTGCCCTGGCGCTGGCCCTGCCTGTAGGTCCCAGTGTGGTACAGTCGCTGGCCTACCACCCCACAGAGCCCTGCCTGCTGACCGCCATGGGGGGCAGCATCCAATGCTGGCGGGAGGAGACCTACAAGGCTGCGGATGGCACAGGCTGAAGCCAGGGGACCCACGACCAAGGACAGAGAGAGAGAGACAGCCTGAGAAGGACCACTGAGACCATGTATTCTAGACATGCTGCTGATCAAGGAGTTGGGAGGAGCTGGGTCTGCAAACTAATAAATAGAGGAGGTGGTGAGGCCTCCCTGGGGCTGCACCGTCCAGTGTTCAGTCCTCATTCTTCTCGGGCGTGAAGGCATCTACCTTCTGGGCAAAGGTTTCAGCCACGAGCAGCGGAAAGACCAGGGAGGCATCAGCATAGACCTGTGGAGGGGACTCAGGTGAGCCACGGGACCCAAGGCCGTACCCCGAGAGACCCTGTGCCCCAGCTGGCTGGCCGGCCCTCACCTTGACAGGCTGTGCGTCCACCCGGATCTTGCCCCAAGAGACAGCTTCATCTGGCCGGGCGCCTGAGTCAGAGCCATCAAATTCCTGGGCTGTGTTGATGTAGACAGCGTAGTCAGCCCCATTCCGCTGTAAGGAGGGGCAGAGTGGGCTGTCAGCCACACAGACTCCAAGGCAGGGCACTGTAGCTAGAGGCTGAGGGACGTGTTCCAGATGAAGGAAGCCCTTGGCGGCCCCTCATTCCAAGGGAAGGGCCCCACGTCAACATCTGGGCAGAGGGAGGGGTCACGGGATGCTGGGCAGACAGTGGGCAGCGTTGCTCCAGACTCGCCTGCTTGGTAGCAAGAACCCTCCCACATCTGCCACCAGCTCTATAGAAGACCTCCAAATCCAACTTACCTCTCTCCTCTCTATGGCCCCCACCCTGGGCCCCTCATTTGTTCCCCCCAGAGCAGCCAGAGAGCACCTGAGAGCACCTGAGTGGCTCTCAAGGCCCTGCACTTTCTGCCTGTCACCTCCTGCCTCACCTCCTCCTCCCACTCTCGCCTTCGCCAGCCTCCTAGCTGTTCCCTGACCTACATCAGGCACCTCAGAACCTTTGCACTGACTGGTTCCTCTGCTGGGAATTCTATCTCGCCCCCACCCCCCAAGACAACCACATGGCTCATGGGACCACCCCCTGAAAAACCTCTGCTGGCAGGTCACATTTCCCAGGAAGCTTTCCCTTTCATGAACAGCACCCCTTTCACTTGCCATCTCGTCATCCTCCCTTATTTTTCTCCATAGCAGTTACTACCATCTGATACGCATGTCACCTGTTTGCTATCTCCCCCCACTAGAACATCAGTGCCAGGAGGGCAGGGATCTTGGCCTGTCTAGTCCACAGCTGTCTACCCAGCACATGGCATAGGCCTAGTACACAGGCCTGTCTGCATGACAGGCCTGAGTGCCACCTCCTACTAGGGAGCACACACACTCCATCCCTGCTCACCATGAGGTTGGCGTTGGCAATGTGGTGCTTGACCATGCCACCGCCCAGGATGATCATCCCAGTGCGCCTGGCGAAGATGGCCTGTGTGTTGATGAGCCTGAGGTCTGGGAAAGAGGGCTGTGTCAAGCCACGGGCCCAGGCAAGAGGGCTGTGTCAAGCCGCGGGCCCAGGCAGCCCTCCTCCCCCGCTCCTCTGGAGCCCCAGCACCTTACCTTCAACGATGTCCAGGACCAGGCCTGGGTTCTTATAGGAATGGAAGAAGATCATGTCACCCAGCGAGCCATCTGTGAGTGCCGGGCTCAACACAGGGATGTGGTTCTGGGAAAGAGCAAGACAGGAGAGCGGTTAGAGCTCAGAGCCCTGCAGGGGCAGTCTGGGAGCACTCCCTCCTCTTTGCCTGATTCTGGGCAGGGAGCTTAACTTCACTTGTGCCTGGCACATAAAGAATGGTAGCTCTTGTTTTTCTGATTGCTGGGCCCCATAGTCTCTGAGGAGCATGGGACCCTACACCAGGCCCCATGGGGGCTGCTAAGCACTGCCCCCAACTGCTTCCCAGTAGTCTAGGAGTAGAACCAGAGTACAAGGACCACACTCAACAGCTGTGGGACCTCAGGCAAATTGCCTAACCTCTCTGTTTCTGAGGTTCCTCACCTAGGAGTGGGAATAAGAATAGTACCAACTCCCCAGGTGGCTGTAAAGATGAAACAACACATGCCAAAGCCTGGCAACTTTGCCCCCACGCAGCCTCTCACCTTCTGGGCCCAGTAATACACTGACTCTGGGTTGTTTATCTCCTTGCCAAGCCGGGCGATCATCTTGGAAGGCGTCCACTTCACACCCTAGGAGGAGACATCAGCTTCAGCCAGCGGCACCTCCCCTGACACCCACCGTGCCCCCCCCCCCCCCCCCCGGTTCCTCCAGCCTCACCTCCGTGTTCTGCTCCAGCACCATCTGGTCCAAAATGGGCATCAGCCAGTCCTCAAACTTGCAGTAATTGTCATTGGGCACCAGCAGGTTTCCGATCCTGGGGACAGGAGGCATGTGGGCATCAGGGCCCAGGACCCTCAGCCTGGCTCCCCTACCCAGCACCACTCAGGGCCCCCCCACCTGTTGATCCCGTTCTCACGTAGCTCCTTCCCCCTGAGGCTGAACTCGCCCAGGTATGTGGGCGCCAGACACTTGATGAGATCCTCCTCCACACCCCCAGCCGTGGTCACCAAGACGTCCACCTGCAGTCACAAGGCAGTGAGGTTGGCCAAGGAAGGGAGGCCCTGCTTTCGTACCAGGCAGGGCTCCTAACTCCCAACTCTCATCCAGTGACCCTTGTGGGGAGCTCTGCTGCAAAACAAAACTGACCCATAGTTCCCTATCTCATTTCAATGACCAGTAATCTTATTGCCCATTAAGACGCAGAGAGGCCAAGGCCACAACCCCACCAGGTCCCCACCATGTTGTGCTGCACGAGGTAACGGATGGTCTCACGGATGCCCGAACTGATGAGGTTGGATGTGTAGCCCAGAAAAATGGTGCAGCCGGTGAGTGGGCGGCAGCTCTGGGTCAGGTCTGCATGTTGGTCTTCATTCTGAGCCAGCGGCTCTAGTTTCTTCTCTATCTAGGTGTATAAGGGCAGGGTCGAGTTAACCTCTGGCCCCAAACTCCAGCCCAAGGACCCCAGGTGGGTTTCAGAGACAGACGCCGCGCCCAGGCCCTGCCCACTGAGGGATATGGGACCACTTCTACCTGGAACCAGGGAATGAACGCCCCTGTGCAGGCTCCGCCCTTTCCACAGCCCAAGTCTCAGGTCACACACTCAGGCTTTGCCTCTTTTCAGGAATCACTTTTGCAGTCCCGAACCCTCTCCCCACTGGGAAAAGCAAATCCAACCTCAGGTCCCGCCCTGCCTTAGGCTCCTCCTTCAATCCCTCCCTCAACTGCGCGGTCTGGCCCCAGACTCCGCCCATTCCAGAATACCTGCACACGTTGCCTATAACGCGCCCCCTACCTAGAATCAGTCCCAACCCACTCCCCGGCACAAAAACTCACGCCCAAGAGGGGCTCCCCGTCTCTCTCCAACTATCTGACGAAAAACACACCTCCTCCCAAGGAAGTCCCGCCCCCAAGTACCCCACAGTGCTACTGGAGGCCACGCCCCCTCAACCCAGGAAGTCCCACCCAGGCCTCACCATGGCGTTGACTTGCTGTACCGCGCGCCCGAAGTTGGTGGCCTGGAAACCAGTGGTGCCGAAGGCCTCCAGCAGCGCGCGGTAGTTCACGCCACGGTCGAAGTCGTAGCCCCGGACCTGGGCGCTCTCGGACGGCAGTGCCGAGCTGTGCTTCAACACGGCGGCCAGCGCCGCCGCGGGCGCCTCCCTCTCCAGGGGACCCTCCATGCTCCTGCGGCCGCACTGTCAAATCAGAGCCGCCCCAGGCCAGGCCTCCGGCGGCCTCGAACACCTCTAAGCCCCAGCACGCACAACCTGCGGAGGGCCGGAAGTTGTGTATGTCACATGAACCGCCGACGCCCGGAGTCCAGGGTGCAGCCTTCTTTGCTTGTGTATTCCGTAGTACGGAAGCCTCAAGGAGCCATTATTTCCTGTTTCTCGTGTTCTCAGTCTCAGATGAATGAGGAGCCCGCTGGAGACCCACCGCGTTGCGTGGCGCTTGCCCATTCGTTTCTGTCCTCTCAGAGAGAGAGGATGGCTTCTTAGACGTCGCCCTTGGACAGAATTCGAATCATCAGGAAGTATCAGATAGTTTCTGCCGCTGAGCGTCTCTCGTCAAATGGGATAGTGATCCCTGTTCGTGTCTTGCAAGTCTCCAGAGCCTCCACATGCTGCATAACCTTCTGGTCTTCCTTCCCCTGGCAGCTGCAGCTGTCACCTCCTCTGGGAAGCCTTCCCTGACCTTCTTCTGGGTAAAAGACCTCCTCTGAGATCCAGGGCTGACATCTATTTCCCTCCAGCAAGACTGAGATCCTGGAGGGTGGTGTCTGTATCTCATGGGTCCTCCAAACCATGCATAGGGTCTGGTCCAGAGGGACTCCTTTAATCACTCTCACTCTGCAGTTTATGGAGTCTACACTATACACTGGGCTTTGTGCTGGGTGCTGCATATTTATCAGTGAACAAAATGCAGACCCTGCCCTTCTGGAGCCCACAGTTTGGGGAGCTAGAAGGGTAACAACAGTGGTAAGTGCTATGTAGAATTAAACGGGCTGATGTGAGAGTCCATGGGGTTGGGGGTGGGTGGAAGAGTTGGTGGTTTTATTTGGAGGGAGAGGTGGTTGGGGAAGGATGCCAAGGAGGTGGTATTTCAGCCAAGGTCAGAAGAGGCCCCATATGTGAAGATCTGGGGGGGGGGGGCCATTCCCACTGGGAGAGAGAACAGCCAGTGCAAAGGCCCTGAGGTTAAAAAGGAGCCTATTTAATTAGAGGAACAGAACATCCTCCTTGACAGCCCCCACTTGGATCTCAAACTCCTGGCCTCAGTTCCCTCGCCACCTAACCTTGATCTTCCTGCAGTCTGCCACATCTCTGCAAACAGCCCTACCTTCCACTCATCTAGTAGGCTGAAAACTGGGGAGTTGAGCCTGATGTTTCCCCTTTTTCACACCCCACATCCATCCCTCCACACGTCTGCCAAATTCTACCTACAAAATAGGTGCTTTTCTTTGTTATTTATTATTTATTTTTGGCTGCATTGGGTCTTCGTTGCTGCACATAGGCTTTCTCTAGTTGCGGCGAGCGGGGGCTACTCTTCGTTGCAGTGCGTGGGCTTCTCACTGCGGTGGCTTCTCTTGTTGTGGAGCACGGGCTCTAGGCCTGTGGCCTTAAGTAGCTGTGGCTCGCGGGGTCTAGAACGCAGGCTCGGTAGTTGGGGCGCCTGGGCTTAGTCACTCCGCAGCACATGGATCCAGATCCCTGGACCAGGGATCAAACCTGTGTCCCCTGCATAGGCAGGCGGATTCTTAACCACTGCGCCACCAGGGAAGCCCTATTTTTCTCCAATTTTTAAAATTGTGGTAAAATACACATAAAATTCACCATTGTAACCATTTTTAAGTGCATTGTTCAGAAGCATTAAGTACATTCACATTGTTGTTCAACCGTCACCACCATTCATCTTCAGAACTTACCCATCAAACACTAACTCCCCATTCCCTCTCTCTCCTCAGCCCCCAGCAACCCCCATTCTGCTTTCTGTCGCTATGGATTTGGCTACTCTAGGGACCTCACATAAGTGGAATCATACATTGTCTGTCATTTTGTGACTGGTTTATTTCACTTAGCATAATGTCCTCAAGGTGCATCCGTGTTGTAGTGTGATTTATTTAACAGATCCCACTGGCTGACTTGAGGAGAACGGGGTCGGGGCTGTGCAGGGCAGGGGAGACCAGGCAACTGCGCTGGTCCAGGCACACTGAGCTGGGGGCACCAGGACCCAGATGCTACCAACAGGGTGGAGAGAAGTGACCAGTTTGACAACTGGGAAGTTGATCTGTGAATAGCACAGGGAACCCTATTCAGTACTCTGTAATGACCTATATGGGAATACAATCTTAAAAAGAGTGGATATATGTGTATGTATAACTGACTCACTTTGCTGTACAGCAGAAACTAACACAGCATTGTAAATCAACTACAGCCGATTAAAAAAAATTAATTAAAACAAAAGAAGGTTGATCTGATGGCTCTTGAGGAAGGATCAAATGTGGGAATACTGGAAGAAAGGAATGAAGGAGTTAAAGATTTGAGCCAGAGAAGTTGGATGGATGGTGGTGAATTTGGGGGCTGGAGGTTTCGGGGGAAGATGATCCAGAGTCCAGCTTTGGCCAAGTTAAGTGGGAGACAACCGAGAGATGGGTGTGATGGACCGAGGAGGGAGGAGGGTCCTCAGGTGGGTCTGAGGTCAGGGAAGGGGCTGGGATGAGGCAGGGGAAGCCATCAGCATGAGTGAGTGGATTGAGTCATCTGTGGATCCCTGGGCCATGAGTGCAGTTGGAGAGAGGAGAGACGGGGCTGCACCTGAACTAGGTTACACTTTGCACCTCCGCCCATCGGAGTAGGGCCGGAGCCTGGCAAAGAAGGTCTGTAGGGGCCAGTTAGCAGGGGATCAAACAGGTCAGTGAGAGCCCAGGGCCCCTACACTCCCCCAGCCAAGGTGACACATGACACCAGGGCAGCCACTGGGCCTCTAGGAGCAGGGACCGCCCCCCCTCAGCTGCCGCTGGTGACATTACACTCCATGAGTGTCCTGGCTTCAAAGTCTCTGCAGGGGTTGGGGAGGGAGAGGAGGGGGTTGGAGAGGCCAGGGTGGTGGGGGCGGGAGCCAGAGCGGGGCTGCAGGAGGAGGACTGAGCAGCCAGGAGTCAGCCGGAGTCCTCAGCTGAGGTATGTGGTCCTGACAGGGGTTGGGGAGCAGCCAATCCCATCCCTCAGTCCCCAGGGGACACAGGAGGATGTGTGGGAGCTCAGGGTTTGGGGTTCAGCCTGCTGTCTGTGGCTCTGCTCACGACTCCCCCAGATGCCCGGCAAGGTGACCACTGGCAGCGACATCGGGCAGGCCCGCTGGGCCGTGGAGCAGCTGCAGATGGAGGTGGGCATCAACCGTGTAAAGGTGAGGCCAGGGCAAGGCGGGTGCATCTGAGCAAGGGGGCAGGTGGACAGCCCAGCCCAGGTCTGGCTAACCGGGCTGGCCTGCAGGTATCCAAGGCGGCCGCTGACCTGCTGCAGTTCTGCACGGAGCAGGCCGAGAGTGACCCCTTCCTCGTCGGCATCCCAGCTGCCACCAACCCCTTCAAGTAGAAGAAGCCCTGCACCATCCTATGACCCTGTAGCCTGGACCACCCAGGGGGCCTCAATAAACATAAAGTGAATGCTCCTCAGGGCATGGCTTGGCCAGGTTGCGATGGGGGGCGAAGGGGGACTTCGGGCTTGCAGGGACCAGTGTGGTGTGCAACTGGCCCAGCCTCCCTCCCCGCCCACTCCAGGGTCATGGCCACAGGGGCCCACACACACCCTGGACCCTGGACAGAAAAGCACGCCCCTCCCTCACCCCTACCTGCTACCCACCCTCCAGCCTATGGGGTAGCATTAGCAGATCCCCTGTCCCACTGCACAAACACACCCGGGATTAGAGTCCCAATCTACATGCCAGCGCGTGCCACACACATACACGCCCACATGGCACACACACACACACACACACACAGGTGCCATCATACAGGTGCCACGTTCTCAAGTGTCTCCCTCTTCCACACAGACATACACAGACAGGAATACTATAACAAGACACACAGTCAGACCGGCCTCCCTGGGGACACTCAGACGCACGTGATCCCTGAAATGCACCCGGGCGGGCACAGATGCACCCCCCCACACACACACACACAGCAGTGGCTGTCGCTGAGGCTTTCATACACCAACTCAGACACACGCACATCCCTGGCATTCCAGCACCAAGCAGCCTCGGGCGGATCCCTCAGGCGACACCAAGCTCACAGTCCAGGCCGGAGCACCAGTACATCAGGTTTATTTCTCCTTTGCTCTCCAGGGAGAGCAGGCATCCAAATCATAACAAAATCAAGGGCCCGAGGGTGGGGAGCAGCCCCCTGGGTTGGCCGAAACACAAACCTCACCTCCCCTGGCATGTGGCCCAGCCCAGGGACCCCCACCCACCCACCATGGCCAGGACTCCTTGTGCCCTAGTCCTGTGGGGGCGGGGCAAAGGCAGCACCAGCGTGGGGGAAGGTCCCCCCTGAGAACGGAGGCCCCAGCCCAGCCTGCCAGCCGGCAGATCCACATCCACATCTGCCTGCTCAGGCCTGCAGCCTCCAGACCTCCAGCGACAGGCCCCCAGAGGCGGCCACCACCAGGTTGCCCTCAGCGCAGATCTGCCAGGGCGGGGACATGAGGAGTCAGGGGTGCTCTGAGCAGCCAGGCAGGGCGCATGGGACAGGGCCTTACCCCATTCAGCACGTTGTGGTGGCTTCGAGTGCAGATGGTCCTTGGGGGGTCTGTGGGCACGTGCACCTGGTGAGGGGCAATGGGTAAAGGTCATGAGGTGTGCTCCTGGCAAGTGAGGGTGGGTAGAGAGGGGGGACTGTCGCAGGGCCTCACCCGGATGGTCTTGTCCGTGGATGTGGTGTACAAGGCCCCCAGGGAGTGTTTGATCCCTGTGATCTGAGACCTGTGGCCCACATCAAAGGACTGCGGAAGGGAGGGACAGGTGACACTCAGGCGTGGCTCTCCCAAGGCCAGTCCCCCACTGCCACCCAGGGGTTAAGAGGTAGGGAGGCAGCCCAGGGCAGATCGTGCGGGGGCAAGAGCCTTGGCAGACCCTGACGAGCTGGAAGCAGCCATCCCGGTTGGCGAAGACATGCAGCAGGCCCTGGTTATCGCCGGCCCAGAGCTGAGGCTCCTGGTAGGACATGCAGAGCAGGTAGGAGTCCAGCTGTGGGAGGGACACGGGACGGAGCAGCTCAGGCCAGTCCGGGCCCCGCCTCAGCCCTGGTCCCTCCAGCCCCCTGGGGAGCGCCCACCTGCAGCCGCTGCAGGACGCTGTTGGCTCGGCGGTCAAACACCACCAGCGTGTGGTCCTCGCTGCCTGAAATGATGTGCCGGTCGTCCGCCAGCAGCGCCAGCACCGCGCTTGAGTGCAGCCGCCGGCTCTTCAGCAGGGCCGGGCCGACTGCATGGGCAATGGGCCAGGGAGGAGGGGGACATCAGAGCCCCTTGGAGGCCCCCTGGCCCGCCCCAGGACCCTGGGTCTCCATCCTTCCTGGCAAAATACTACTCTGTCTGCTCCCCCAACCCCCATTCCACAGGTAACCCTGTTGTTCCTCTGCCACCCCAGCTGGATCCAGGCCTCACAGGACCACCAGACCCGCCCCCCAACCCATCTCCATCCCGCCTCCTTCCTCCAGTCCCATCTGCTCTCAGTACAGAATGGACCTCAGCAAGTCCCAGCATAAAATGCTTCCCTCCTCCTGCAGGTCAGCCTGAGACTTGCCCCCACCCCATCCTGGCTCTGGCTCTGCCTGGAAAAGTTACACTGGGCCCTTGAATTAAAATAAGAATGAATAAATAAATAAACAATGGAAAAGGCTTATGGGCTGGGCCAAGTTCATTCTAGGCATTTTAATGTAAACATTTAATCTACCAAAGTTCTTATTGTCATCTCCTCCCATTAGCCCTAGGCGGCTGGAGTTATTATTATCTGGATTTGACAAATGGGGAAACTGAGGTTCAAACCTGACTGGGGTCACACAGCTAGGAGGTGGGGGAGCCAGAATTCTCAAGGACTGTCCTGCCTCCTACGGGACTCAGGCTCAGAAGCCCCTCCTCTGGGAGCCCTCCAGTACTTGACCCGACCCCACCCCACGTGGAGGCGGGGCTTCCTCTGCTCCCAATACCCACCCCCACCTGTCACCTTTGTGGCCCCCCGCACAACACAGGCCACTCTGAGTGGTCAGCCTCTCGTTATGTGACTGTCACCCCAGTTAGACTGTGAGGCCCAAGTGTCTCCTTCCCCAGGATGACCCTGGAGACACCAGGCAGCCCTGCTCTCCCACCTAGGCTTCAGGGTCCCCAGCCCACCTCTGGGGTCGTAGACGGTCACCTTCTTGTCATAGGTGCCAGTCACCAGGATATCAGGCTGGTAGGACAGGCACAGCACAGCTGCCTTGGCCCTGGGGACACACAGACCACAGGGCTGGGGCTGTGGCCAGACAGACCCCTGCCCACCCAGGCCCCCCTGCCCAGGACCCCTCACACTTTATCTCGCCAAACTGCTGCCCATCAGCCGCCATGTCCCAGAGCTTCACCGTGCTGTCCCAGGAACCAGAGCACACTCGGTGGTCCAGCGCCGCCAGTGACCACACCCAGCCCTGTGGGACCAGACTGGTGTGATCTTCCCCATTTCACGGAACCCAGAGTGAGTCAGCACTGAGTAGAGATTAGAGCCTAGGTCTGTGGGTCTGACCTCAGAGCCCAGGACATGCGCACCCCAACCTAATAATATTCCTAAATCAAGTTCTGCAGAGCCTCAGCTGCAGCGGTGGTTTGAGGCCACATGACAGTGTGATTAAGAATGGGGCCTCCATGGGAATTTCCTGGCAGTCCAGTGGTTAGGACTCCGAGCTCTCACTGCCAAAGGCCCAGGTTCTATCCCTGGTCAGGGAACTAAGATCCGGCAAGCCACGTGGCACACACAAAAATGGGACCTCCAGGGAGTTCCCTGGTGGCCTAGTGTTTAGGATTCTGGGCTTTCGTTGTTGTGGCCCAGGTTCAATCCCTGGTCAGGGAACTAATATCCCGGAAGCTGCTTGGTATGGGGATAAAAAAAAGAATGGGGCCTCTACTCCATGACCTGGGTGAATGAAGTAACATCCCTCAGTTTCTTCATTGGGAAAATGAGCATAAAAAAAAGTCCCTGTGTCAGGAGCTAAAATGCACAGAACGCAGCTAGCTCCCCACTGACTCAGTCCTCACCAAACCCTCTGAGGAGAGTACTATGATGTGTCCCGTTCTACAGATAATGAAACTGGTGCACAGAGAGGTTGAGTCCCTCACCCAAGGTCACACAGCCAGGAAGTAGCAGAGTGGGGATTTGAACCCAGCAGCCTGGCTCCGAGACCAAGCTCTTGGCCACCAGCCTAGACCACCTCAATGGCTGGTGGAGGTGCCCCTCCATGACCACCTCTCATGAGATGACAGTCAGGCTCAGAGCTGTCTGATCCCCAAGGGTGGCCTCATAACTGCCCTACCTGGGGCCACTCAAGGTATACCTGACACCTCCTAAGCACCTACTGTATATGAGCCTGAACAACGCTCTTAATGCATATTCATTTCATTCATCCTCATTCTAATTGACCTCTGGACAGAAGCAGAAACTAAGGCCCAGATAAGTCATACATCTCACTTAAAGTCACACTGACAACAGCAGAGCAAGATTTAAATCTGTGAGGTCTGGTGCCAAAACCTGTGCCCTTAGCCACGGTACCCTACCCAGGCCGCACGCCTCCTACCTCTGCCTGGCCTCCTACCCCCTCACCTTGTGAGTGCTGTTCTTCTGGGTGCCCAGGGCCTTGACCAGAACCCGGCTGGGCTCCACCCCCAGCTGTTGCAGGTCCCACAGGTTGACATTGCGATCTCGGGAGCCTGACAGGCAGAGTGTCCCACCCTGGGAGAGGAGTGAGGTGATGTTGTTGGGGTCACCCTGGCCCACCACTGCCTGGCCTTCCACCGACCCCCGTCTCACCTGGAGCAGCAGCACTGAGTCAATGGAAGCAAAGTGCCCATCGGCCAGGCAGAAGTACTCAGCCCTGCGCCCATCCTCTGCCCAGCGTGACAGGTGCTGCTCCAGCTCAATGCAGGCTGCTGGCCAGTCAAAGTCCTCCTCTGTGGGACACAAGAGCAGGGTCCCCAGTGGGCAGGAACCCTGCCACCACCCACACCAGCTGTCCAAGCTCACTGCGCTGGCTTCCGGGGAGCACAACCTGAACCAGACTTGGAGAGAACCCACCTGGATCCCTTACCCCACCCAAGGAAGCCGAGGCTCTAGCTTTGGGACCACCAGCCCACGCAGCTGCCAAGCACGTCTAGGATTGCTCCTTACCCAGTTTCCAGAAATTGGGTAACTGGAGCCTCAGGATCACCTTCCCGGGCCTCATCCCCCAACCCAAGTCTGGGGGATAGCAGCCTCAGGACGTTAAGGCCCTGCCTCACCCCTGGCTAAGGTCCAACCTCAGCCCTCCCAACCCTCAGGCTGGGCACAAGAGCTAGGACTTCATAACTAACACTTCCTGCCTCGGCCATCTGAACCAGACCCATGGAAGTGTTTCCCAAACCAGCATCCCAAACCTGGGAGCTTTGTCAAGATGCAGAATCCAAGCCCTTGACCCAACCAAACATCTATGTTTTATCAAGCTGTTCAGTAAAGTCCCATTAATTCAAGATCACCAAGCTGCCTTATCCTCTAGGGACCAAAGACTTTGGAGGCAGGAGAAATTACCACCAGCCCCTGCCTAAGATCCCAGGTTAGAACCTGGACTCGAGGGTCTGTGATTGCTAGTATCAGGGATCCCAACCTCTAAACCCTAGCTTAATAAGTTCAAGGGTTGCAGGCTCTGGACCTGAGTCCTGCCGCACCCTCACCTAGGCCAAGACTCTAGAGGTAAGGGGATTTGGCATCACCAGTTACTGCCTTAGCACCTAGACCCAGAACCTGGGGATTCTTGGGCTTACTCTGAGCCCCAAGGAGATTCTGACAACCTAAGACTTCAAGTCCCTGTGTCAACCCCAAGCCTGAGGATCGTTGGATTCCGAGTTCAGGGACCCCAGCTACCCAAGTAGATTTCCACAGCCTCAGGACCCCAAGTATCTGTCTCATAGTCCACCCAGAGGTCAGGGGCTTTGGTACCACCAGTAAGTACCTCAGCCACCGCTGAGCCAGGACAGCCAGGTAGTCTGCTCCAGTGACTGTACTTACAGCACCCTGGACCCTCCCCCCGCCTCAAGCTTGACCTGGGCGGGCCACCCTGGCCCCCGGGCGCGCGCACCTTCCACCACTGGGTAGGGCGCGCGTACGCGGCGCTGCGCGCGTAGCCTCCAGGTGACATGGTCACGCACGAGGTCGCGCAGCGCGTGGCACACGCGTGGCAGGACGTGGAGCACGAGGCGCGCGTCCAGGTAGGCGCATATCTCGAGCAGCAGCTCCGGAGGAAGGCTCAGCAGTCCCGGAACCGCCACCGCCGGGCCCTTGGACGCGGCCCGCGGCTCCAGAGCGCCAAGGGACACAGCGGGCGCGGGCTGCGGAGGGGCGCGCGGGGGCGCCAGCCCGAGTTTCGGAGGACTGAGCACGCGGGCCACGTAAGCCTCGGCCTGTGCGTCGGGGTCAGGCTCCGGCTCCGGCTCCGAGTCATCGTCCCAGGCGCAGGGATCATCGCGCGGCCATGGAGGCAGCTCCATGGCGACCGGGTGGGCGCGGCCGGCCCGGCCCTGTCAGCAGCCGAGCCCGCGTCCTGTCTCCTAGGCAGCGCGAGGGTACTTCCGGCGCTGCCTGATGACGTTAGGGCGCCAACCGGAAGCGAGCGGGTCGTGGGGAAACTAGCCGCAGACTGAAAGCCAGCTCCCCGGAAGGGTCTCGTTTTTCCGAGCTGGAAAATGCAGATTCCTGGTTCCTGCGTTTTTTAAACTAGCATCTCTGATGGTGCTGATGCAGAGGGCCAGCGGACTCTGGTTTGAAAAACACGGCCCTGTCGAAGGCACTTCTCACAGGTGACACTGACCTTACAGATAGAAAACCCCTTTTTCCTGGTTCGCAGTCTGGGCATGCTAGTGACTCGAACTCCTGTTCTTTTCTTCCGGAGCCAGAAACAAGCAGTTACACTGCAGAGACCTCGGTGAAAGTTAACTCTGAGTTACCCAAAATCCTACTGATAAAAACAGCATCTCATTTACCGACAGCCTCTTTTGAGCCAGGCAGTGTTAACGCACAAATTCTAAGCAGCACTAGCTGTTCCCTCCCCCTTTTTTCTTTTTTAATTTAATTTTATTTATTTTTGGCTGTGTTGGGTTTTCATTGCTGCGCACAGGCTTTCTCTAGTTTCAGCAAGCGGGGGCTACTCTTCGTTGCAGTGCGCGGGCTTCTCCTTGCAGCGGTTTCTCTTGTTGCAGAGCACAGGCTCTAGGCGCGCGGGTTTTAGTAGTTGCGGCTCACAGGCTCTACAGCCCAGGCTCAGTAGTTGTGGCGCACGGGCTTAGTTGCTCCGCGGCATGTGGGATCTTCCCGGACCAGGGCTCGAATGTGTGTCCCCTGCATTGGCAGGCAGATTCTTATCCACTGCGCCACCAGGGAAGTCCCAGAGTACCCTACTGTCAAGACTGTGACCATTTTCCATAACGTTTTTTCCCCTCTCCCCGCTGTATTTTTCTCCATGGGACATATCGCTGTTTCACTGATTAGCTTTCCTCTCACTAAAATGCACACACTTGTTAAACGGAAGTTGGTTGTGTGTCAGCATTTCAAAAAATTTTCCCAGTTTGATGCAGGTGATGCTTGGGCTGTACTGAGGTTGCAGCAAGATTTTATCCTGAGGCCTGTGCGTCCCCAGATGAGCAGTTTCTCATTTGCCTTTAACTGTTGCACATATTTACCTATGTCCCACAGGCTTGGCGCTGAGCATTCTACAAAAATGTCTAACCTGCCCAGCAATCCAGAGTTGTGAAGTTAAAGATTATAAGAATGCTGCAAGGTCTTGCTCCTTGCCACTCAGTTTAGTCTTTAGTAGATGGGGATCTTGAATCTGGGCTGTAACACTAATGGGTCCCCTTTAGTGAGCTCAGGCTCTAGTGAGCTGTAATTATGTCCCAGAGACTGCACTGCATGTGTTACGTTACCACATTTAATCTTTTTTTTTTTTTACCACATTTAATCTTTAACCTTACTTACTTCCCCACTCCCACAATTATTTCCTGACCTGATTCCTGTGCATCCCTATTTCTAAAACTTCCCAGGCCCCCCTCGACATCTCTTCTCTACTGCCAAAGCCCAGGACACAAGAGGCCAGATGGAGACCAAGGGTTTCACAAGAAACTGATCTTTACTCAACAAAGTTCTACACAAGTGGAATCTCACGCCACCTTGGCGCCAGTCCCCAGCACAGCACGGTAACAAATGGACAGACCCTGGGAGCCCGCAGGAAGAAGAGGATGAGGGGGAAGGAGGGATGTGGGAACGAGAGGGACTGCAGATCGAGGCCAGTCAGGGTCCGCAGCCCTGCGCAGGGGAAAAGGTTGAGAAGCTGAAACTTCGTTGTGCAAAAATCAACAAAAAAATAAATTAAAAAATTAAATAGTTTCCTTAATTAAAAAAAAGAAAAGAAAAAGAAAAAAGATAACTAGAACCAGGCTCCCCTTCCCTGAAGGTGGTTGGAGGCCCCCCATCCTGGATGGAGAAGGGGTTACCAATCCCATCAGACAGCCAATCCACACACCCCAAGACCCAGCAGAGGATGCTCCAAAGAACTGGAATTACCAGAAAATTAAATGGTATTTAATTTTTTTTTCTTTTCTTTTTTTTACAAATGGCTTCCAGAGACCTGCTGGAGTTTCACAGCGGGGGAACCAGCTGAGTTTATGGAATGTGCACCAAGTGCCCCTGGAAGAGAGGTGGGGCCTGACCCTGTCTGATAGACACAGGGCTGTGATGAGGGTGTGATCCAGTGCTCGAGAGGGATGCATGGAGCAGGCCCCAGAATGCAGGAATCCAGTCAAACCCCCAAAACCGCAAAAAGAGGCCCCCAGAGAAGTAGAAAGCAGGGAAGAGGAAAACAACATTAAGGGGGCTTCAAGGCTTGGTTTCAGTTTTGAGGCCAACTGGGAAGCAACCACACCTCCTCTCTCTAGGGGAGCCTCTCCCACTGTGCCTGCATCCCCAACCAATCCCAGAAGTTTCCCTAGGATCGCTACCCCAATCTGGTGGGGTCTTGGGGCCTACTGGGAGCTGTGATGATCAGGAAGTCCCAGGGCCAGAGTGGGGTAAGGGAATACAGCACCCTTCCCTTCCTCCAAGCCTTCGGTTTCCCTCTTGCTGGCAAAGCATAAGCCTTGGTTTTCTATCACCATCAATTAAATGCCTCAGCCTCGGCCCTTGTGTTAAAACCCAGGCCTGGAAGAGGGCTCTCGGAAGCAGAGAAACGGACTGCCTTTGAAACAGACTTGCTTATGGAGAGACACAGGGGTAGATGTCAGCAGCTCTGGCTGCCCCCAACTCTCCTCGGGGAAAAAGTTCCAGCCCAGCATCTTCGAAAGTCACTGGAGCACAGGGGAGGGAGAAAAGGGCGACCTCTGGCCAGCCCCGGCCACTTCGGTGGTCCCCACTCTTCTGGCTGGGACGGGACAAGGAGGGAGACACACTGGCTGAGGCTGCCACAGAGCTGGCAAGAAGTGTGCGGAGCAGGTCCAAAGCGTGTGCGTGCTGACTGGGCGGCCCCAAGGTGGCCGTCCTCTTCCCCCCCACCCGCCCCAGGGTCCCAGCGGAGGTCCCCAACCCACCCAGCCCTCCCTAATCACCGCCAATTCCGGCAAAACAGCAGAAGCTTCTTAAACTCTAGATGCAGGTTACACGGAAGGCCTTACGAGTTAACTCAGGGGTTCACTAATTCTACTGTCTCCATGCAGTCGGGGAAACGGTGGGGCGGCTGGCCCAGCCTGGCTGGCTGCAGCGCCCGCACATGCGTGTAGCCACGTGTGTACGTGTGAGTGTACGTGTCTCTACAAGGACCCCCCTCCCCACCTGCTTTTCCCTTGCCTCATCCTAAGCCGGATTTGGTCGGCCGTGTTGGTTCTTCCCTCCCACACGTGGCTGGCCCAAGTAGGCTGCCTGAGGTGACCCCAATTAGAGCAAGGGGCCCTTGCTGCCAAGAAGTCCCACCCCCCTCCCATTTATAGGATGAACGTGGAGGCCCCACCCACCTGCCCACCCGCTGACCGGCCTATGGCCGGGTATGGCAGGTAGATGGACGGGGAGGGCGTCTGGATTTGGGTCCCACTCACTCCTCCCTAACCCCCCTCGACCAGGGCACGGCGACTTCTGGACGCAGCGCGCTCCCCAGCAACCCCTCTGACGACGACGCAGACAGAAACCTGTGAGGAGAGGAGAGGGTCAGGGCCTGCGCCCCTTTGGCCCCCACAACAGCGCCAGCCCTCTCTGCACACGGCCTCCTCACCTGGCAGTCGCAGTACTCATCTAGACCCCGTAGAAGGCAGCTAGCCTCTCCTTAAGCAGCGGTGGGAACTGCTCTGAGAACTGCTGCCAGTTTTCCTCCCCAACTTGGTCTTTGAAGCCATGGAGAATCTGCAGCGAGGGAGGGGGTGAGGGGTGCCCCGGAGCGGAGCAAGATGAAGATGAACTCGGTCTCTCCCCACCCTGCCGCCTTCCGAGACTAGATCAGGGCCAAGCGGGAGCCCTACCTTATAAAACATGTCCCGAAGGTCATCCTTCGGGCTCACCCAGGAGGCTACAGCGTCGCAGAAGAAAATAAAGTCCTGAAACGTGACGGATCCCACGTGAGGGGCCGTCCAAGCCCAGCCCCAGCAACTTCCCTCAGAGCCCAGCTGCCCCAACCTGCACAACACCCCCGGGGTTGACGCCTATCATCATGCAGATGCCTCGGAAGGCCGAGTCCTTCTCCTCATTGTCCCTGATGTTCCTGAGGGATGTGCACCTGTGGGGAAGGTAAGCAGTGGGGAATCAGCCAGTGGGCCTGGGGCAGGATGTACATCTGTGGGGGACAGCAGGGAGTGGCGGGCCAGTGGGTGGTGGGGCTGGGATGGGACATGTATCTGTGAGGCGTGGGGGAAGCAGGAGATCAGGGCTCGGTGGGGCTGGGTCGGGCATCCACGGGTGGGCAGGGTAGGGGCTGGGTGGGCACAGGCGAGGGACTGGGTCGGGCCTGTCCCACCCTCCCCCCACCGCCCAGCCCACCGTACGGCAGGCCCCACACAGGTGGGCACACACCAAGGCCGGATGAACTGCTGCAGCATGGGTGCCACCTCCTGTGGGCACACGTAGCCCAGGCGGCCGATGGTGATGGCTGGAATGGCAGAGGGACTCGTCAGGCGACCTGCAACCCCGAGCGGCCCCGGTACGTGGCAGGGCCTCTAGCACGAGGCACCAGCCCCGCCCCACGGGCCCCAAGAGAATAGCTCCTGCCAGCTCCCTGGGCCCCCAAGCTTGGCCTGGTCAGGGTCTCCTCCCCACCCCACTTGGGTCTCTCCCGGGTCTCCCTCGAGGCCAACATCTTTCTTAGGCCTCCTCCCATAGCCCCATTCCAGGTCCCTCCAGTCACCCTCCCTGTTTCTTTCCCAAGGCCTCTTGTCAGCTACCCTCCCAGCCAGGATACCCCACCTCCAGGAGGCGGGCAAGGGGGCGGCAAGGGCCCAGGCCTGGGGCCCACCTGTGTTTTCCAGCAACGTCTTGGGCGTGTTGGGCCGGTTAATGATCTCCACCAGGTTGTTGAGGACCATCTGCACGTAGGGCTGCATCTCTGCCCCTGGGGGACAGGCCAGTCAGAGCCCCACACAGCCCACGCCACCCACACTGACCTGAGTTGTATCCAGACACTGGCCAACCAGTGAGGGAGCAAGCAACCTTCTCTGGCTATCTGCTGCCCAGGCTCCGTGGCCAACCAGAGACAGACCTACACCCTCCCAACACCAGAAGCTTCCCTGGCGTCACTGCTGGACACCAGGGTGAGACCACACCACCCAGCCTCCCTGTGGGGTTAGGCAGAGAGCAGAGAAGCAGTGACAGTCTCCCAACCAATCCCAGGGGGCCTTTCAGCCAATTGCTTGGCGGGGAGGGAGGTGACAAGTAGTCCAATAAGTACAGGCCTCCTGTCCTGTGCCTCTTTGGAAAAGCCAATTACAGATGGCCTTTCAGCCATGTGTCCCCATCTCGGATGAAAATGCTCAGAGGTGTCCCCTTGTCCCTGGCCAATTGGAGCCTTCCTCAAGGAGCACCAGGGCCCTCTAGAGGGAACCTGTCAGTTAGAGCCAGACTCCTGGCCCCAGGCTGGGAACAAGCCAATGGGGAGGGACAGGGCCTGCCCAGCTGTGGGGCACTTACCCATCTGCATGCAGATCTCGCCAATGGCCCAGGTGGCATTGTTGCAGACAGAGATGAACTCGGGGTTCAGGTTGGTGCCCAGGATGGGCATGAACTCAGCTGGCAGGGAGAAAGAAGGGTGCTGAGCAGGAGGGCCAGCCAGGGTAAGCTTCTGACACTTGCGGGGCAGGCCCCGTCAGACAGTACGAATACATCCCAGTGCGGTCACAGTCCTCCCAGGTCATCTCTCCATCACTTGAGGCCAGGGCTGGGGTCATGGGGTGAGGACGAAATGGGGGTCGTACCGATACAGGGCTTGACATGGATGAAGCAGGCTTTGGTGAGGTCTCCCAGGAGGGCGAAGGAGCTCTGCCGGACCTCAGGCATCGAGTCCTGGGGGTTGGAGCAGGGTCAGCGTGGCCAGGCTCCCCTTCCCCCAACCAGCCGGGATCCCAACTAACCCCTCAGAGCAGGGCAGCTAAGGGAACAGTTCCTGGAGCATGACCTGACCCTGCCACTTCCCAGTGCCAAGGCTACAGGCCCCATCTGTACATCTGGGACTCGGGGCATGTGAACGAGAATGCCCAGCTCGGTACCACTACAGAAGAGAGCACCTGGAACTGCTGCCCATCCTCAATGCGCTGGGGGGTAGGGGCGTGATATTGGAGGGGCTTGTGCTTTCACATTTCCTATTTTCTACTTTTTAATTTTCTACATTGTTAGGTTTTTCAATGAGATTTTACATTTCTTATTTGAATCACTTTTAAAAATAATTACAAGCTTTTTTTTTTAATGGGTCCTTTCTCCCTGATGTCCTCAGGGCATAACCAAGGCCCTGAATCCACCCAAGGCAGCCCACAAAGGCTGCTGGGTGTCACCATTGTCCACTTAGAGGCCCGCGAGGGGCCCACCCACCTGCATGCACTGAAAGAGCAGTGTCATGATGTTGCTGCGGGCTACCAGCTGCTCCACGTGCCCGCCCAGGCCCTCAGCCAGGCCGCTGAGCAGGTCCAGCGCCACGATCATGAAGTCCTTGTCAGGGGCCTCGTACTGCTCAGGGTGCTGGGTGTACATCTGGGCACAGAAGGGGGCAGGCAGGTGAGGGGAGTGGGCCCAGTCTGGGGCAGCAGCAGAGGAGCGGGTGATGGGGTGGTGCTGGAGGGATGCTCACCATGGCCTGGGCCAGTGTCTTCTGCACCAGGGTAACACAGCGCTGGTAGACGGGCTCACAGTAGGGCAGGAAGCCACTCTGCAGGGCAGTGGCCACTGACGACAGGCACTGGCAAGGAGGAGGGCAGGAGAGGTGAGCTCAGGTGGGTGGGACGGGGCCTCGGGAGAGGGCCTGGAGCTCACCCACCTCCAGCAGAGGGAAGAGGTCCTTGTCTTCATCCTTGAGCTCGTTCCACTTCTGGATCAGCGGAGGCATCAGCTTCTGGATGTATTCCTGGAAGGGGAGCAGGAAGTTGGGGCTCCCTGGGTGTGGGTGGTGGCCTGGGAACCAGCAGGGTTCCCTGTGACTCAGAGGTGCCCGTCATCTGAGCAATGAGGTCTAGGCTCCTCGCTTTGGTTCATGGGGCCCTGCGAGGCCTCGCCATCCAGCCAGACCTCCAGGCCCTTCTAATTTACTCCCTTCTCACCCATCCCGAGCCCCACCCCCACCCCCCTCCTGCCCCTTGGAGCCTGAGTCAGCTCTTCCTGCTTCCTGCAGGCCCCTGAGCTCCCCCGGCACAGCACTTACCACGCTGTCTCATAACTGTCTGTCTCCCCCACTAGACTGGGAACAGGGCGAGGGCTGGGGCCGGGTCTGTCTGTCTGCCTGTCGAGGTCATGGCCACGTCCCTGGCGTGCGACACGGGTCGCCGCCAGGTCACCAGATGCCAAGGGGCACAGGGATCGGGAGGAGGGAGCCGCTGTGGGGTCTCACCGGCTGGTTGAGGTGGTGGCCCACAGAGTCGGCCAGGGTTCCGATGGCATCGTAGAGGATGAGCAGGTTCTTGTGCTGGTACTTGCCAAAGGCAAAAACGAGGGTGTCCAGGATATAGCTGAGGTAAGGGACCAGCTCCGTGCAGGCCTCCTCCTCCAGGGTGGCGAAGGCACTGGAAGGGGGAAGGGGTTTAGCAAGCAGCCACGGGCAGGGCTGGGCTCTGAGTCGGGTCAGAGAGGGTGCACTCGGGATCAGCCAGTACGAATACGTGAGAAATCAGTACAATGTCAGGGGTCATGAGTATCATCACTTCCCAGAGAGCAGCCAGTGGGGCCAGGTGAGGTGAGGGCTGTGGGGCCAGGGGTCGAGGTTCACCTGCAGGCCGCCTCCTGTACCCTCTTGTTGCCATCCAGGATGCGCTTGAGCAGCTCTGTCATCAGAGGCTTGAGGTGCATGTCAGGGGGCTGGCTGACCACCCAGTGGGCATAGCGGCTCAGGGTCCAGCAGGCGATGGAGCGGACCAGGGCCTTCTTGTCTGATAAGCACTGGATGAGGTGTGGGATCAGCTCTGGCAGGTAGGGCACCATGCCCTGCATGCAGCCTGCAAGGAGCCGGCACAGAGGCAAGGCTGAGCCCAGCTGGGCTGGGTCACATCCACCCTCCTGGGGAGAGGATCAGCCGCGCCTGACAGATGGGGAAACTGAGGCTTGGAAGTTAAATAACTGGCTCAGAGTCACAGAGCCAGTGAAAGGCAGGATGGGGATGGGAAACGGTATCAGAGCAAGACTTTCCTCTCCATCAGCTCCACCCCATTCCAGGGCTTGTGATGTTTTTATCTGGTCACTAGTTCATTCATAGATGGCCAAGCTGCACACTGACTTGGGCTTTATGGGCAGTAACAACGCAGATGGACAGAAAGGACCTTTCCTTTGAAACCTTTCTTGGATGTTTGTGATTTTTCTTTTTCTACTTTACATCTTCTCTTTTTAAAAACCCTTAACTGTGTCTCTCTTTTCATTACAGAACACAGGTAATAAATAGCACACCCTCTGATAATCCCAAGCCATGAGATCTATTTTTACCAGTTTAGGGTCAGTTCCTTGAGATCTTTTTCCCATTATATATGCAGAACACTTCACATAGTCTATTAAAATACATATGTGCATTGTGTAACGTGTTATGTGTCTTGTTAACATAAGACCCATTACTTATTATATGAGGAAACATTTCCTTAGACAACTTTGAAAAGCTCTCCAGGGTGAGGGCTCCTGCTGCCCTCTCTGCTTGTTCTAGCAGGCCTGGATGCTGAGGGGGTCGTGTGTGCTGCCTGTAACAGTTCTGCAAAGCCCTCTGGTAGTTCACGCTGTACACCCCATCCATCGGGACAAGGGAAACCTGGAAACCGTGTCAATACAGCACAAGCACACCGTGTGAAGTTTAAGGAAACACCACTGCACACTTCTGATTCTGGCAGGCCAGCCTCGCAGCCAGAGCAGGTTTGAGGCCCAAATTCACTCTGGGTGACGAGGGAAGTGCCGTTGATTAGCTCTGCACCTTAGTTCCCCCATCTAAGAAACCCACCTCCTCAGGTGGTAGTGAGCCCGCAGGACAGGGCTGCCTGCTGTGGGGCAAGCACTGCAGAAGTGCCTGTTTCATTGTTGCTGTCATTATGCTTATGGCCTGTCATGAGAATTAAGGAGAGAGCTTGCTTTCGGGGGTCCCTTTCAGGCCCACGGGCTGAAGGGAAGATTCAAATCCCAGAGCTGTTTGGAGTGGGGTGAGCAGGCCTCTGGAGAGAACCTGGGGATGGCGTCGCCCCCCACAAGCCTGCCTGGGCCAGCCCCAGTCTCGCACCAGCGTGGGGATCAGAGGTCAGGCGCAGCCAGGCTGGCAGGTCACTTACCCTCAGCAATGGCGCCCAGCACCAGGATGCCCGACTCCTTGACCACCCACTCGGGGTGGAAGAGGAGGCCCTTGAGCAGGGGGAGTAGGTGGGGCAGCAGTTCCTCCCGGAAGACGTTAGCCAGGACGTCCAGTGCAGCCGCCGAGCACTTCCCTGGGGTGGGAGGGGAGATGGGGGGAAGGGGTGGCGGGCTCAGGGAGGCACATCAGGCAGGCCACCAGCCCTCCTCTCTGTGCCCCCCGGGATGAGAGATCATGATTAGAATCTTCATGATTTGCTCCATATAGGCTTCTGATTCCCTCCTGAGAGGGGAGCCCAGGGCTTGCTGCCCCCTACTTCCGGCTTCTCACCCCAGGCCCGGCCACCTACTCAGATTCCAGTCGGACAAAGCATCGTCGTCGTCATCATCCTCCGCATCCTCAGAGCCATCAGGCCGCTCGGCCTCATGGGGCAGCGTCACTGTGCGTGACTTGTGGAAACGTGGCTTGATATCCTGCTCGCTGTCAGGGACGGCCTCGTCCTCCTCCACATCCCCCTGTGGAGCCAGGCAGATGGCTAAGCACCACAGAGGCCCCCATCCCCAGTGCCCCAGCCTTCATCCTCCTGCCTGTGCCTGGTGGTCAGCCCTAACTTACCTTGAGCAGGATGATGTCGATTTCTGAGTACTTCATCCCGTTTACCAGGATAGGGATCAACCTGTTGGAAGAGAGGCTGTTAATCAGGATGCAGGGGCCCCAGAGGGGGCTTACAGCCTGGGGAAGAGGGAAGAAGGGGGGAGGGGAGGAGGTCAGGGAGCCACGGGGCCGACTGCACATGCTGATCCTGGTTATGCTACACCCACTCATTTCCCTTAGTGGGTACTATCTCAGCCAAGTCTCAGCCACTGTGACTGGGTCAGAGCTGACACTACTCCTAGCTCCACAGGAAGGTTCTGGACCCAGACCCCTGGCCACTCAGTGAATTCCCGACCCCTGAATACACTGAGAAGCTTGGAATAGTGCCTGACCCCTAGCACACCATAAAGCAGGGACATGTGGCCCTGTCACCAGGCACTTCCCTAGGATGGGGCCTGGTTAGGGGACCAAACAGGCAGGGCAGCCTGCCCCCTCAGCTGGAGCCCATGCACCTTGGGATCGGAGATTTTGGTTAGAGCCCTCACTGACTCGGGGATAGAAAAGTAATCCAAGTTGGTCAAGGAGAATCAGCCCTAGGACTTTTGCGGAGATACTGGTTGAGAGAGAATTTCTTTACTCTGAGGCTCCTGAGCTGGAAGGCTGCAGAAGGCCACAGTACTACGACGAGGGAAGGCTGTGCCTGAGAACAAAGCCAACATAGAGGAAGTAGATCTGAGACCAGACAGGCGCCTTTCACATCCTTTGAGCACCTGGATCCAGCTATGCCTAAAGCCTCTGTTGAGTCTTCACTTTTTTCCACCTATAACTTAACCTAATTTTTAAGTCATTAAAGCTACATACTTACCGTTTGCAAAATAAACGTGCACAGGAATAAAAGTAAGCCGAGATACAAGATGTGGACTGAGGCTAGCGCAGGAGCTGACCGGAAGGAAAGGCATAGGCATGGCAAGGGGTGGAGGCTGGGGTGGGACAGAGGGCAGAAGCAGCACTCACTGGACCAGGTGGGAGGCCAGGACTTCCTTGCAGATGGGCTGCTCGGCCAGTGTCAGCCAGAACTCGCAGGCCTCAAGGGCCACGTTCTCATCATGGTCCTGGGTCCTCTGCAGCATGTACTGGGGTGGGATGGGAGAAAGGCTAAGGCTTGGCCCGGCTAGGGGTGGATCCCCACCTGCCTCCCACCCCTCAGCGCACACGCGGGCTGGCGCTGGCCAGGCGCACCTGGATAATGCTGTGCATGTGGGGGATGAGCCTGTCGATCCGCACTTCCAGCAGCATCACCAGTGCACGGCACACGTTCTTCCGCACCTCAGGGTCATCATCCACGGCCAGGGCGAACAGATGCTGCAGGGAAGCCGGGGTCAGCTGTGGCTGGGCCCTCGGCCCTCCCCCTGCTCCCCTCCCCAGCCCAGTGGCCCACCTCGATGAAGGTGTCGATGTTGTCCATCAGTGCCTGGGCCCGGTCCATGATAAACTGATTCACACAGGCGATGGCATGGGACCTGGCAGGGGGCAGGCGCACATGGGTCACTCCTGACCCCACCTGTCCCACCTGCTCCAGGCCCCCTGCAGACCCCTGGGGAGCCGCACCCACCGGATCTTGGGGCTGCAGTGCTTGAAGAACTGTAGGAACTTGGGAATCATGATGTTGAGGGGCCTGTTGAGGGCATCGCTGTCCAGAAGTTCGGATGAGTCTTCGCAGATCTTCTGCAGGGCTCCGAAGGCTCCCTGAGTGGAGGGGAGCAGGCACATGGGTGTGGGTCCCGGTCTGGCCCCAGCTCCCGCTTAGGCAGGCAGGCCATGGCTCGTCCCCTACCTCACAGGTGTTGTAATCCTCCGAGTTGAGTAGGTTGCACAGCTGGGGCAGCAGCTCGGGCCACATCTGCAGCTCGCCCTTGGAAGCGATGGTGGTGATGAGAATGCCTGGGGCGGCCAGGAAAGGACGCTGCCTCAGGCTGGGTGCAGGCCTGCCTGGCGCCCCAGCCCTCGTTGCTGCGCGCTCACTCCAGACACACACTTTCTGTGCGCTACCGCCTGTAACCCTACACACTCTTTGAGATCCTCTGAGTCTTACTGTGAGCCAGCCCTGTTTCAGGCCCTGGGATGCAGCACAGAACTAAACACAAAATCCCTGCCCTTAGGACCTGACTATCTAGTGAGGGAGGCTGTGAGGTAAAGATAAATCAGCAAAAGACCTGGGTGGCTAGATGCCAAGAGATAAGGGAGGAAATAAAGCAGAGAAGATGGCTAGCAAGTGCTGAGGATGAGGGTAGCAATTTTTAATTGGGTGGCTAGAGAAGGCCTTACTAGGTGACACCTTGATATCTGAGCAAAGACCTGAGGAGGTGAGGGAGAAGCCATCTAGGTTCTGTTCTCAGAAGTGAGAACAGCTGTTTCAGGAGGGAATGGTTCAGAGCATGGACCTGACCTAGTCGCTTCTGGGCTCTGCTACTTGCCAGGCAAGTCCCTTAACATCTATGTGCCTCAGTTTTCTCATCTGTAAAATGGCAGTAATAACAGTACTACACTACCATCCACGGTGCTGGAACATTCTGTGAATCAATATCCTTAACACACTGAGAAGTTTCTTGGCCAAGAGTGACAGCTCAGGGCATCATCACAGGCTGACTCCCGCTGCACCCTCTTACCTATGGTGGCCCGGATGAGCGAGGAGGCATCGCCGATGTTGTTGAGACATTCCTGTTTGATGAAGTCGGCCACAGGTGGTGGAAAGCTCTGGTAGTGTGCCTTCACGTTGTTCTTGAGGATGAGGCCACTGAGAGAGCGAGTTGGCTCATCTGGGGGAAGAGGGCTGAGGCTCAGGGAACCACAAGGGAGAAAGTGGGGTCAGGCTTGTGTGGAGGGACACCAAGGGCATACCTTCTGACTTGAGTCTGGTCAGGACGAATATCAGGTAGTTGTTGAAGTCGGGAAACTGGTTCAGTTGTTTGAGTTTCTGCTAGGTTGTTAAGGGTCTTGGGTGACAGAGGTCTTCCCCAGGCAGAGCCCCCTTACTGCCATATAGCTGATACTACTTCTGACTATGGGGATGAGGCAACCAGCTCCTGGAACCCCACCTGTCAACCCCCATGCCCAGAATAACACAGCATTTCAGGCACATGAGATTCATACAGCGGGTGGGGGAGCATGCCTGAGCTTCCCACCACTCCTGAAGATCTGGCCAGAGCAGGAGAGGGTTAGCAAACTCAGCGCTCTCTGAAGTTGGCAGCTCCACTCACTAGCAATCCAATGTGGCATGGTTTTTTTTTTTTAAAAAAAGAAGGGAACTCACACTTTCAAGTGAAACTTGCTAATGGTTTAAATAATTTAAAAGTTTAACTTACAGCATTTTAAATGACCAATTGAAAAAAGGAAATTTTACCCATGAAACTCAACTAAAGCCAAGCACCAGCTAAAAGTGCCCCCTTCTCCTGCCAGGCCACATTTCCTCTGGGAATGGGACCCAATAATCCTAATCCTTAATTCTCTGCCAAGGCCTGCTCCTGCCACAGCAGAAAGAGTCTAAGAATTAGGGAGTAGACCCCTTCCTCTCTGGCCTTCAGGAGCTGCAGATGTCTGCCCCGGCCCCCCAGACCCGGAAGGAAGGAAGGATACATCCTGCACGATGCGCTGCGTGGCTGTGTTGGGCGACTGCGAGTCTTTGAGCAGCTGCAGGACCTGCTGCAGGCCCTGCTCGTCTGGCTGCCAGTCCATGGTGCAAGGTGAACTGCGGGGGTAGGGGCCAGGATCAGCGCTGGATCCCAGGGGCTCCGTGTGAGTCCCGGGCTGAGCCCCCGCAGAGGTGGTGGCGTTGGTAGCAGGGCGGGAGCGTCCTCGGCGGACAGAGGGAGGCCGCCGATCCACGCCCGCCCAAGTGCGGGGTCCCCGCCAGCTGCGCCATCCACGGCCGCGCAGTCGCGGGCTCGGGAGCGCGGGCCCGGGTATGTGGAAGCGGGCCATGCGAGGTGGCGACGGGACCCGGCGGATCCTCATCCCACCCAACACTGGGCCTTCAGCCCACCGCGGCCCATGCCGCCGCCCTCGGCTCCGGGCCCTAAGACTTCCACTTCCCTCGAAGCTGCTAGGCGAGGGCCCAGCCACCTCCCCATCCAGGGGCCCTGCCCCAGAACACGATAGCGCCCCAGCCCCCGTGGTCTCTCCCGTGCCGGCACGCAGTCCAGCGATTCCCCTTAATCAGACCCAAAGCAGTCTCCAGACAGGTCCCTGATGCCTCTCCGCAGGAGGGTCAACCAAGCCCACCTATCCGGCGACAGAAGGCCCCTGGACGGGTCCCTGTCGCTTCCTCAATCAGGTCTGGCAAAGCCTCCCCCCACAGCGCTCCAACCCCCCGCCTCAGTCAGCATTAACTCCTGCTAACGGGTCACTGCTGCTTCCCCCAATCAAGTTCGACCAAGCCTCCCACCACCTCGAACCGAAAACCCTCTTCGTCCGATCCCTGCGGCTACCCCCAATTAGACCTGGCCGAACACTCCCCGGGGCATTTCCTCCAACTGATCCCAGCGACGCCTCGCAGTCAGACCCAGAAAAGCCCTCTAGGCCGAAGTCTGAAGCCCTTTCCCTATCAGGGTCCAACAAGCACCCCCCCAACTTTTCAATGCGGCTTCCCCCAACCAGACCCAACCATGCCCCACCGAAACAGCCCCCTACACACACCCGATCCTCGCGACGTCCCCCAATCAGTCCCTAAGCAGTCCCCATACGATTCCCCCAATCAGAGCCCCTCCAGCCCGACCCCAGACGCCCCACTGGCCCGATTCTCGCGGCACCGGGACCTGGCCCGGTTCCGAGGCCCCACCCCCTAAGCCCGGCTCGGTTCCCCCCTCCCCCGCCCCGGCCCATTCTCGCTGCCTCCTCAATCGGGCCCAACCGGGTTCTCGGCCTTTCTCGGTCAGGCGCGGCCCCGACGCCCGGGCCGCGCGCCGCGCAGGCCTGAAGCCCTGCGGGGGTCGACGCAAGCCGGGGCCCAGCCGGTTAGGGTCCGGGTGAGGCTCACTTACCCGGCCTCGGGCAGCAGCAGCGGGGCCTTAAGCCGCGGCTTCTCCTGAGACTCGCGAGGAAGGAGGGAGCCAAAGACAGGGAGCAAAAAAAAAAAAAAAAAAAAAAAAAAAAAACGCGGCCGTATATGAACTGCGGAGGCTTCCGTACGCCGTTCAAACTGGCCTAGAAGAACCAATCAGGAGAAACAGCCGTCGCACGTGGCCTGGCACCGGGAGACCTAGGCCCAGCGGAGGCCGGGTCACGTGACCGAAGAGATGACGGCTCTCTAGGCCTCTCTGGCCGGCCGGTCCTCCCACCATCTCGTTTTCTCAGCCGGCCTCAACGCCGGCCTGACAGGAGCTCTTTTCTGGAACTAGGAGTTTGGTGGCGCGTGGGACTTTTTGGTGTATGGTGGACCTGGAAACGCTTCAGTCAGAGCCACCTGCGCCTTTGTCACCCCTCCTCTAAGAATTTAACTGTGCCTTCCTTCCTGCATCCAGACGGTACTTGGGAGGAGTACATGTGCGTGCAGAGAAAGAGTGGAGGGGACTGAGCCTGGGGTGGACTTTATACCCGAGACAAAGGAGGGAAAGTCAGACAAAGGGAGTGCCTGAGACGGGCTGGGTTCCTGAAGAAGCCTCTGCCATATTTTGCGTTATTTATTTTCCAGTACTGTTTGACAACTTTTAAAAGGATATAAAAAAATAAACCCACGAGGATATAAAATTTTAAACGAAATGAACTAATAAAATAAACGCTAGAGCAAAAGGCCTGTCTCCTTTCGTTCCCTGAGGCTGAATGAGGTGAAACAGTTAAGGAAATTTAGGTAAGGGAAGGAAGATGAAAAAAGACATTCCGTGATTCTTGTGCCGTCTGAGGACAAAGTAGGGCACCCCTTTTCTTTCTCTTAAGAGTAAAGCGGAGTAGGGAGGAGCATGAGCGTCCCCGTTCCCCCCTCCCCACGTCTCCGCCCTCCTGACAAAAAGTTGGGCGACCTTATGCCCCTCGGAGCTTTAGTTTCCCCATTTGTCGAATGGGTATAAGAATAGTTTGCTGGGTTTGAGATAATCCAAGTTAAGCATTACAAGACCTGCAGTAAATTGTTCTTCAAAAACGTGGCTTTTACCCCGAGGCTCAAGGCCGTCCTTTTACCGTATTTGGCTCCTCCCTAAACCAATATTTACTGAATTCACTGAATCAACTAGGGCTCTAATCCCAAAGAACAACCCAGCCCTGCCCTGAGGGACGTTTTGGCCTCGGGAGAGGCACAGGTCAATTCTTGCCCCAGCCTGGAGAAGGGGGACAATTTTCTCAGTCCACTTGCCATTGGCAAAGTCAGTCCTGGCTCCGTTCATTCATGAAAAACAGGTACCTAAGCCCTCTCTTGCCGAATACTGGGGCCGCCAGGGTTTTGGGAAGGGTCAGCTGGCGCCAAACTCCACTTCAGGAGTTGGGATCCCTAAAGTAGCGGACTGGATTCCCACCTCAGCCTGCTCCGCTAGACAGGAAACCGGTTTGAGGGACACGTGCGGAAAGCCGCCGCCTTCGCATGCGCAATGGTCTTCCCTCGCGCATCGTGAGGGCCTAGAACTACAAATCCCATCTTGCCGTGCGCCCGCGTCGCCGCGCTTACGGTCTCTGGCTGAGACTCGAATTTGAGGGGTTGGAGAGCTCCCTAGAGTTGGGCGTTGAGCAGAAGGAAGAGTGAGGCTGAGGGGCTGGGACGGGATCTGGGGGTTTCAGGAGAGGATGCGAACCGCAGTTTTCTGCTCACGGTTGGGGGTTGCCTCAGACAAGGGTCAGGTGGGGAGCGAGTTGGAGATGCAGGAGAAAATTAATGCTCACCCCCTACTTTTAATATGTCTAGTGTCCAACGGCCCCGAGCAGGCCTCGGGGGAGAGAGGAGTTAGGGCAGAATAATGTGACCCCTGCTGCCTGTATAGTCCACAGTATTGGCCCTCGTGTGATCACAGATCTTTCTTCCTCTCCCCTGATGGTGAATTTCAGTACTGAATCGAAAATCAAAAAAAAAATTTTTTCCCCGTATTTATTATGCACCTACTGCCTTTCAGTGTACAAATGGTATTCTCACAACAGCGCTGTGCACGGCAAACTTACTTCAACTAGAAGCGCTCAGTGCAAAAAAGAAACTCAAAGAACTGATGCCCAACCGTGAATCTGAGATGGGAGACAAAACACCTCTCAGTTTACAACAGCCTCCCTGCCTGAGCATCTCATCACACTGCACCTTCCTATCAAGGTATTTCTCAAACACGGTCCCCAAACACAAGCCAATTGCTTCACCTAGAGAAGCAATAACAGCCACTTTGTCAGAGTTAACGATGGCTGTATGAACAGTGCCCTTACTTTAGAACTTCACTCTACAAGGAGCTTCAGTATTTTATCCCTACTTTATAGATGAAGAACCTGAACCACAGAAAGGCTAAATGACTTGCCCAAGATCACACAGCAAACGGACACCAGAATAGTTTGAAGCTGGGACTGTGTGACTCACCAAAACCTGAATTTGATTCTCCTCCCTCTTCAGACTTTCCCCAGGTCAGGGCAGGTGAGCTCAGTGAAAGGAGGTGCTGGGACGCCATCAGCTCCCTCTGCCTCCTGATACTCCAGAATAGAGGCTGAGCTGCTGCAGGGGCGACCTACTTCTCCCACTTATGTTTCTTTTTAAAGATCCAGAGGCTGTGGGTGGCTTTGAGGGAGGAGGAGGTAGAGTTGGCTCCATTGGCTTCCTATGTCCTCTCCCCCACACTACATCCCCAAGGTTAAAGTCACACTTGGGCCAGCTCAGCATCCTGAAAGTAGGAGGGAAACCATTGAGGTGATGTGGAAAATAAACCAGACAAGCCTTACAGTGTATTAGCAGGAAGTGAGGGGGGACATGTTGCCTGTTCCAAAGGCTGTTTGCTCACTCTTCAAGCCGGGCGTGGTTTCAGCTCAGGGTCTTTGCACCTGCTGTTCCTTTAGCCTGAACACTCTTCCAAGAACCATCTTCACTGCCTGCCCCACCCCCTTCGGGACTTGAAACAAATGGTGTGGCTATTCCCGACCAACTTAAAGTTGCCATCTCTCCCACTCTCATCACAGTCCCCCTTTCATGCTTTTTTCCCCCGCCACAGAATGTATAACCATGTGGTGTTCTGTATTTTGTTTCTTGTCTGTTTCCCCCAACCAGAATGTTCGCTCCACTAGGACAGAGAGTTTGGTGTTTTTGTGCTCAGTATTTGGAATGCCCCACGCTCCACAGGCTGAATCTGGCAGTGTGAGGCTGGGTAGGTGCTACCTCAGCCCTCCTCCCCCTGCCTCTACGGGTGGTGGAGGGCCAAGCACATGGTTACCACCTGATCCTCAGTCATGATGCTCTCCTGTTGTAAGAGGGTTGGGAGCCTGGCCCTAGGATGGGCAGGAGTGCCGAGCTGCTCAGCATTCGTGCCTGGGAAGGCCTGGGAGATGGGCCCACAGCTGGGGGGCCTAGATGTTGCTCCAGGTCTAATAGGTTTGAAAAGAGGTCAGGAGGCAAGGGCATCTTAAAATATTTGTGGGCTCCAGGGAAAGCAGGCAGCCAGGCAGCCTTCAGCTCCAGCAGGATGAGCAATGAGGCCAGGAAGACACAGAAGTACAAGGAGTACTAGAGGGGCACTAGGGGCATCAGGTTTCCTTTAGGATACCTTGTCCCCTGATATATCAACTGTCATGTTCTGCAAGGTGGGACAAACAAGCCCCTTCCCTGGAAGGGCTACAGGTAGCTGGCAGGACAGAGCAGCCCCATGGGAATCCAGATCCTAGCCCTCTTTACTTCCTCCACTGCCAGCACCCCATCACCTCCCCTTGCCTGATCATCGCCTGGCCTCCTCCATCTCCCAGGTTCTGCCCAGACCCCTTCAGCCAGAGGGATCCTGTTAAGACATACTGCATAAAACACATCATGTTGCTCCTTACCTCACAACCCCCCCAAAGGTTTCTCACCCAAATTCTCACCCTGGCACACAAGGCTCTGCATATAATCCACCCATGCTCCTCACTCAGCCAGCTCCAGACATAGGGGCCTCCTCAAAGCTGCCCATAAGGGCCAGGCACTCTCCCTGTCTTTATGCTGGCTGTTCACTACCCCTGGGACAGGCTTTCTCACCTCCCTCAGGACTCTGGTCAGATGTGTCAACTAAAATAGACCCCTCCCTGCAGCCTCTATCCTGTCCTTCGCAGTCACCTCCCAGAATGGCTTCCCCCTTTCATCTGTGTCTGTTTCCTTCCACAATGGCAGGGAGCATGCATGGTCTGTTCTGTTCACTGCAGCAGCCGCAGGGCCCAGAAAAACCCAAGCACACCAGAGGTGCTCAGTGTCTTCTGATTTGAACAAACTGACAGCTTTGGCCCAGCCCAAATGGGACTGTGAAGAGACACTGAACAAGAACACCCAACAGTGGGGGGGAAAGTCAGGGGTGAGACCTGAGGAGAGTTCAGGCCTACAGGAGGTGATGCACCCTCGTTCTCCCCCCACACCCTCCCATATCCCTCCCTCACTGGGCCAGATCCAGGCTTTGGTGGGTGCAGTGCCAGCCATGAGGGGAGGGCTTAGGTTGGAGAACAGCAAAGAAGGCAAACCAAGCACACAGCTCCAGCACTAGGTCAAGTTCTTTACTTCCCAGAAGTGATGGCTAAAGGGAGGGAGGAGAGGATGAGAAGAGGAAGACAGAAAGAGCCAGAGAGAGGGAGGAGCTGGGAAGACAGGGGACAGTAAACCACTGTTCTATGAAGTCTCAGGAGGCAAGTGCTCAAGGTAAAAAAGAGTCCTGGAGAGTCGTCCGCAGCTGCAGCAGCTGCGGGAAGCATCTCGGTTTCCTTCTGTATATAAGTCCTTGGGGGAAAAAGGCTGCCGCGCTGCCGCTGCATTAAATAGTTATGTACATCGCAGAGTCCCAGGCCGTGGGCAGGCAGGGAGGGGGGTCATTTCACCAGGGGCCGAGTTTTATCATCATCACCGCACTGGTGGGCTTTGTACTTTTTCACCTCTGCCATGTACTTGGCCCATGCATCACCTTTACTTGTTAATACCTGTTGGGGGGAGGGGAGGGACACACGGGGGTTGGGAAGGAGATGCCAAGGAGGCCAGGAACCAGGGTCAGGACTGTCCTGAGACAGCTGACCCACCCACAGAGTCACCGCAAAGGTCTTGGGTGTGAGGCAAAGATATGGAGAATCAAGTTATCTGGGAACTTTGTTGAAAGCCCTCCTCCCCCACCCAGTACACCCATCCAAGGGCTAGATACTGAGGAGGGAGGGACAGGGCACCTGGGCCAGGAACTGAGGCTGGGAGGAAAAGGCAACGTGGGCGGCCCCCCACACCCAGCCTGCTCACCTCATCCTCCGTCTTCTGCTTCTTGGCTACTATTCCCGTCTTGAGGGCTAGTTTGTTCCCGCCTCTGCGCTTGCCCACCTGGGTGAAGGGACAGAAGACTGCAACGGTTACAGGAGCCGGGGCCCGCCCTTGGCGGCGCTGAGGCCCACTACACCTTCCTAGCCCGGCCCGGTGGCCCGTCCCGACGCCGCGCCCAGCTCCACCAGCCGGCCGACCTGCGCAGCAATCAGAGAGGAGCACACGCGACTCAGCGCCTGCCCTGGGCCCATGATGCCCAGGCAGTCCTGGGCCCCCGGGCTGCCCTCCCAGGGAGAGAAAAGAATTCCCACATCGGTGGGGACGAGCACTGTCCTCACCCTCCCCTAGTAGAAACCACACAGACAGCAACAGCTCCCTTTATTGAGCACTTACTGTATGCTAAGCCCTGTGCCAAGTGCTTTGGATATACTATCTCCTTCCACTTTCACAGTCACCTTACGATGAAGGTTACCATCCCCATTGTAAACATGAGGAAACATCTCTGAAAAGGAGAAGCCTGTACCATGGATCACGCCAAGAGCAAGCAGTGGAGCTGGATTCAGGGTCAGGTGTGTCTAGGCCACAGAGCAGCATTCTTAACCACCAAGCGACACTGTTCCCCTCCACGTAACCGGGCCTGGCCTCTTTGCGGGTGCTCCTGCAAACGGCCCCTTGATGAACAAATGAAACAGGCAGCGACAACTACTGCTATTCTCACTCACAGAGGGGCACTCGGCCTCCACCCAGTTCTCACACCGGCCCAGGTCCTGCCACTTCCCCTTCCTCAAACATAAGTCTTACTCTGAACTTTCGTCCTGGTCCTCTGTTTCCTCCCACACACTTGAGGGTTTCTTGTGCCCCAGGGGCTGCAACAGGCTTTACAGACATCCCATCCCTATCCCTCAGCCAGGCATTAAGTGACCTGCGCTGCTGGGACTATTCTCACACTCATTTTTGACGGATGAAGAAACTTGACCCCCAGTTCGTTACTCTCACACCACACTTTTTTCTCCATACCACAGGAATTGCTCTCAACACCAGAGACAAAGCAAGCTCAGAGTTGACAATCAATGTAGGTACCATTTCTGTGGCCTAGAGTTTCTCAATCGCATGTACTAGTGACATTTTGAACTGGATCAATTTTGTTCGGGAGGGGGAGGCGGTTGTTCTGCGCATTGTAGGATGTTGAGCACCATTCCTGCCCTCTACTCATAAATGTCAATAGCACTCCCTCCCCCAGTTCTGACAACCAAAATATCTCCAGACTTTGGCAAATGTGGGGATGAGGTGAGGGGAATCGTCCCTAGTTGAGAACCACTGGTTTAGCCCTTCCTATAAGAAAGGCCCAGTGCTAATCACATCAGAAGATGCGATGATGCCCATTTTTACAAGCAGGGAAAATGAGGTTAGACCAGATCAGATGCCCCAGGAAAGCAGAGATGCCTGTCATAATCAACACATCATACCCATCACCTAGCACACTGCCCAGCACAAGGTAAGGTGCTCAATAAATGGACACTGGACGAATGAGACTCAGGGAACTCAAGCAAATCTCCTAGGGTCACACAGTAAGCAGTCTGAGTCTCTCATCCACACAGCTCAGAGTCCAGACTTGACTATGCCCCCCATCCCCATAGTGGGAGATGGTCCCAGTATCCAAAGTTCGGGATTCCACTCAAACAGGAATCCTGGTATCCTGGTTTCCCCATCCTCGGAGCGCTGTTTCCAATGGAATTCCCCCCAGCTCCCAGTTCTTGCGGGCATACTGCGGGGGTCCCCACCTCCGCCCCCAGACCTCTCTCGTCGAGAATCCAGTTTCCGAATCCTCAGCGGGTGACCCGGACGGCTCCCTCATCGGGGTCGGAGGGTGGACCTGGATCCCGCTCCCCTTTCTCGAGCCCGATTCCCCCTGCCAAGGAAGGCCCTGGTGCCCGCCCCCACCCCCGCGGCTCCTTACGAAGCTGAGCGTGGGGCCCGGGCCGCCCTTCCTCTTCGGATCCCCGGGACCCGCGGCGGCGGCGGTGGCCGGCTGGTCGGGTCGCTGCGGGCCCGGGGGCGGCTCTTCCTGCCGCTGCCGCTGCTCCTCCTCCATCTTCCGCTTGAACAGCTCCAGGAAGCTGCCGTCGTTGGCGAACAAGTTCACGCCGCCCGACACCGGGCTCGAACCCGCGCCCGACACTTCATCATCCCCGCTCTCGGGCGACGTCCCGGGCCCGGACTCAGCCCATCGGCTCCCGCCGCCGCCGCCGCCCGCGGGGCCCGGCGCCTCCCGGCCCGGAGGTTCCGCCCGTCTCCCTCGGGCAGCCATTTTGTCGCCAGGTACCTCGCAAAGGATTCCGGGAAGGCCGCTCCGGGCCCGCGCTTGGCGCCAGACTTGCCTCGTCCCGGGCAATGCATGCCGGGAAGACCGGTCTGGCCCTCAGGCATCCGCAGTGGAGGCGGGGCATGAGGGGCGGGGTGAATGAGGAGTAAGGTTTGACGCTACGCGCCGGCGGGCAGACGCCCCGCCCAGCCCCGCCCCCGCCCCCGCCCCGCGGATCGTTAAAGCCCTGCTAGACTCCCGCAGGCGTTACGCAGAGATGGTCTCTTCCTGAATGAGACTATTGTCTGCGCCTGGGGCTGTAGCGGGCTCTCGGAGTGCGGTTCCCGCTTGGGACTTAGGGGCGTATTAGCTTTTCGGGGCTAGAATCCACTTCTGGCACCAGGGATAATCTCAGTGAGGGGTGGGACCTCACCTGAGGCTGTGTGCTCAGCTGACACCTCGGAAGCTGGGTCCCTAACTAGGACTAACTAGAGGGCATATCTAGCCTGGGCCCCCAGAATAGAAATGGTAGTGTCTCTGGATTGGGTACCTGTCTCTGGGGTGGAGCTTTTATTTGGGAATAGAGACACAGCTGACTCCAAGGAGCGGGGGTCCCCATTTGAAAGTCAGGGTATTATTTTATGTGCTAGAGTACTCATGAAACCGCGGATATTTCTAGGCTGGAGTCTCCATCTAAGAGTGTCCGCTAAGGGCCTGGGACCCAGCCTGTATTCCTGCCCAGGGCAGAGTTTCAGAGAATTGGCCGAACTGGAGTTTCCCCTCGGACAGAGAGCAAACTGGAAGGAGGTTTTCGGGAACAGGGTCCCTTCTACGACAAGGAGCGCAGTTGCAAGTGTTGTCCCTGCCCTGTCCTGTCCTGCATGGGGGCTCAGGGCTCACTGGACAAGGATCTGCGGACCTCGCCCACAGCAGCCCCGGGACCGTCTCCAGCCAACTAACTGGTTCGTTTATGATTGGTTTGCGTCAGGAGCCCGGTGGTTCCCAGCCAATTGAATAACAGAAGAGACGGGCCTGAGGCGGTGTTGGAACCCAGGTTGGAGAATAGGGGGGGAATGATCGACATGAAATTGAGCCTATGGGGTCAGGTCAGGGTGGACCTCGGATCTAACTTCTTGAAAAAGGTATCCAGCGGGTGTTTGGCCGGTTGCTAAGGAGAGGTTGGCGGCTACCGGGACCTGAGAGTGATTGGTAAAAGTAAGAAAAGATGTAGCCAATGAAAGGAGCGCTGCAAGACTTAGGGGCCAATCAGTAAAGGGGAGTAACCTGGGATGTACCAATATGTTAATTAGGAAGGGGGAGTCTTTGAAGAAAATATAGACAAGAGGCTGACAAACTGAAACTTGGAAGGGGAAGACGTTGGAAATATAGCTTCTATTAGCTCCTAAAAGTTAGGCCATGAGAAAATTGGTTCAATCTTCTAGCCTTGATGGGGTTGTGATAGGAAATTTCCCCTGTAGGTGCTTTGCATGGTGCGCTCCGCTTGATCACGTGAGCCGTTTCCAAGATGGCGGCAGGGGTGGCCGGGTGGGGGGTTGAGGCAGAGGAGTTCGAAGATGCCCCTGATGTGGAGCCGCTGGAGCCCACGCTTAGCAACATTATCGAGCAGCGCAGCCTTAAGTGGATCTTCGTCGGGGGCAAGGGTGGTGTTGGAAAGACCACCTGCAGGTAAGGAGGCTGCGGTGGTGGCCGGGAAAACGGGTGGGATGTACCACAGGGCGAAGGGGAGGCCAAGGACCGGGTCTTCCACCACCAGCCGGGCAGGAGGGCTGGGCTGGGGCCTTCTGGGTTGTACTCTTCGGAAGTTATCGAGAGCAAATGGAAGCTACCTCCTGAATGCAGGCCTGTTCAAGGGCTGAACCACATTGGATCCAGCGCACGGGAGCCTGGAGAGCGTTTAAATGTCCCAATCAGCTAGACTGTACCAGAGTGAGCCCAGAGTAGGGGGAGGGGCACCGGGGCGAACTATCCTAGTCTGGTGAACCTTGCCATTCTATGCCCACGTGGGGGTGGGGGTGGAAGGCGGGAGAGAGGGCACATGATCAGACTACCCATTCAGCTGGGAAGAGGGGGAGGGGTCCCCGGGGCAAATTACCCTGGACAAGTGGACTGAACTATCGAATTTAGCAGGCGGTGCAAAGGACCCCTTAGCTTAGAGTTGAGGGAGGGGACACAGGGTCAAGTTGGCTGGATAGCTGGACCATGTTACTTTGTGCCAGCAAGGAAGCAGGCATCAGGCAGGACGGACACATTCATCTGAACCTTACCACTATATAGCCAGCTGGAGGGCTCAGTAGGTGAGGTCTGATAGGGTCCTTCTGCAGGGATTGAGGCTTGATCCCAGTCATCCGTACTCTTCTCTCAAGGCCCTTGCTGATCCAGGTCCCCTGCTCCTGGGACCCTTCTTCTCCCCATGCAGACCTAAGGAGCAGAGCCTAACCCTTCACTTCCCACCTTTTGGCCTTTCCCTTGCCCAGCTGCAGCTTAGCAGTCCAGCTATCCAAGGGGCGGGAGAGTGTTCTGATCATCTCCACTGACCCAGCCCACAATATCTCCGATGCATTTGACCAGAAGTTCTCCAAGGTGCCTACCAAGGTCAAAGGCTATGACAACCTCTTCGCCATGGTGAGTGCAGCAGGGCTCAGCCCCGCCCCCCCGCCCCAACTCTGGCAAAGTCACCTTCAGGCCTTTCCTGTGAACACCCACCATCAGTTACCATGTCCTGCCCATTCTCCATCCTCTGTCTCTCCACTTTCACTCCTTCTTCAGCATACCCACAGGGGAACGAGTGAGGAACGTTTGTGGAGCAGAAAGGAAGCCAGAGTGACTGGCTCTTAGTGAGCAAGGGAAGGGAGGGAGACATCAATCAGGACCACATGGTGTAGGACCTTGCAGCCCACTGAGATCAGTTTAGCTTTGTTTCCAAGTTAATGGGAAGCTGTTTGTTTTAAGCAGAGTAATGTCATGGCCAAATTTGTTTTCCAGAAAGTTCCCTGTAGCTCTCATGCAGAAATTGGATTGTAAGTCAAGGATGGAAACAAGGAGACTGGGACAGTGACCAGGCTAGGAATGATGGCAGCCCAAAATTGGGAGAAGGGGTGAGAAGTGGTCAAATTTGGGATGTATTTTGGAATTAAAGCAATTTAACTGCTTGTTTGTAATGGGTGAGAGAAAAAAATGAATTAAGCATAAGTACATGTCTTGGTTATCTCCCTGGGCAGCTGAGGTGGGGAAGACTGGGAGAGGAGCAGGTTTAGAAGACCAAACGTCAGGAATTTTATTTGGCCACAGTGAGACCAAGGTGCCCACTGGTCATCCAAGTGGAGACATCAGGACAGCAGCTTAGTTATGTGAACCTAGAGCTCAGAGGAGGTTGGCGTTGATTTGAGAGTCATTGTCCCAAGGGTGGTATTTAAAGCTGTGTGAGTGGAGGAGCACGTGAAAGAATAGAGAGGCCCAGAAACAACCCCGGGGGCACATCAGCATTTAGGGTCCAGCAGAGGAGGAGGAAGAACCATTGAAAGAGGCCGAGAAGGAGCCACAGGAGAGGTGGGAGGAAAGCCAGAGAGTGTGGGCTCCTAAGCTCCAGGAGGACAAAGGGACTAGGGCAGAAAGGTTGTCGGCTCTAGCAGGCACATCAGTTTTAAGCAGATCACCCTGGGAATGGGGGCAGAAGCCTGCCTGGAATGGGTGAGCTGAGGTGGACACAATGATCACCATGATGGGAGCAGAGAAATGAGCATGGCCATCCCTGGAGGGGGAAGGGAATGAGGGTTAAGGAAGGCTTTTCTGAGGAAGGAGATGCTGGAGCATGTTTGTTTGCTGCTGCACATGCTTCAAGGAATTCCTTGGTGGTCCAGTGGTTAGGACCCTGGGCTTTCACTGCCAAGGGCCCAGGTTCAACCCCTGGTCAGGGAACTTAAGATCCCACAAGCTGCACGGTGCAGCCGAGGGGGTGGGGGGAAGCTTCAACTGGGAGGGACAAGTGATATTGCAGGAAGGATTAAGGATGCCGGCTGAGGACGGGCCTCAGGCAGGTGTGAGCTCACTCCAGCACACAGACCCAGGACTTGGGCTCTGCCAGGACCAGGGGCTTAGAAGGAATGTGGGGGGACTGGGGCGTTTCCTGGGAGGAAATGAGGGTGTTGGCAGCCAGTGGCTTCGCTTTCTCATTGAGACACAGGCGAGGCACAGGCCTCAGCAGAGGGTGAGGGACACACGGGCCAGAAGGGGTTTGAGGAGGAAGAAGATATGGCATTAACATTCCCATGGGTGGATTTTCTGGCTCGTCGAGTGCCTGTTAGAGATTTGTGATCAGGAATGGGGAGCAAGGTTGAGTTCTTCGTCTGGGATGTTCCCCTGATGTTCACCTCGGTGTAGCCATGCCAGCGAGCTGTGAATAAACAGGATGGGGTTTTTGCCAACCACAGAGGGAGAAGGGAGTGTTTGCAGAGGCGTCTTGTGGAGACTGGGCTGGATAAGAGTGCCGCCCAAGAGGGACGCTGACGGTGAACAAGCGGGCAGAGGTGCGGGGATGAAGTGGCCCAGGAAGGTCTAGAATAACAGGAAGTGAGAAGGCTGGGGTCAGAGAGTGGCCTGGTGACTAGGAACAACCCATCAAGGGTGTGACTGTGGGGGGGTGATGTGTGGACAAGCTCCCTGCAGGGAAATGACCTCTGAGGCCAGGGAGTGGAGGGCTTCGCCACAGGAAACATGAATTCAAGTAGAAGAGGTGACACAGGCGGGAGATAGAGAGGCAATGAGTGCAGGACGGGCCAGGGACCCCAGGCTTGGTCATCCCCTTCATGGAATCTGGATCCATGTTGAGGACCTACTCTGCCAGACACTTCCAGGCACTGGGGACACAGCAGTGAACAAGACAGAAAAACCCCTGCCCTTGTGGGGCCAGCATTCTGGTTGGGGAGACAGGCGAAAAACATGCTAAGTAAACCATGTGAGGAGAGGCCAGATGTTAAGAAGAAAGGAAGGCAGGGCAGAGGGGGCTAGGGCTGCACTGTTAGATTGGGCGGTCAGGGATGACTCATGTTAGAGGAATGATCTGGAAGAGGTCACAGGCCCGGGTGGGGGAACAGCCCATGAGAAGGCACTGCAATGCACTCTGGCTTCCCTCTGGGACACTGAGCACAGTTGGCGATTTTCCATCTGCTTGTGAAAGACTTTAACAATCTGTGCCACCACCCGAGACCTTAAGCGCCTAAGGAAAGGGCCAGGGCACCTCAGAGGTCTCCCCAGCTGTGACCTGGTGAAGGGCTGTGCTCAGGGCACCCCACAGGCTCCCTCGGGCTCCGTGCCCAGGTGGGAAGGCTCCAGCAACAGCAGCCTGAGTCTTGACCCTCTCGGCCCCCAGGAGATTGACCCCAGCCTGGGTGTGGCGGAGCTGCCGGACGAGTTCTTTGAGGAGGACAACATGCTGAGCATGGGCAAGAAGATGATGCAGGAAGCCATGAGCGCCTTCCCAGGCATCGATGAGGCCATGAGCTATGCAGAGGTCATGAGGTCAGGCCCGGCGGGGACTCTGGGTGCCCGGTGCTGCCTGGGGCTAGGGAGGAAGAGGGGGCAGAGCGGGCCTGATCCTCATCTCCCCGCAGGCTGGTGAAGGGCATGAACTTCTCGGTGGTGGTGTTCGACACAGCGCCCACAGGCCACACGCTAAGACTGCTCAACTTCCCCACCATCGTCGAGCGGGGACTAGGCCGCCTCATGCAGATCAAGAACCAGATCAGCCCCTTCATCTCACAGGCAGGCAGAGCCCCAGGGCATCCAGGAGTCCCCTGAATCAGAGTGGGCCCCCGGACCCCAAGATGTGCAGAAACAAAGGCATTTCCCACATACGCTCTCAGTCAGCGCTTCCCAATGGATGGGATGGATCTTCACTGCGGGGGAACTGTCCCCCCTACTCCACAGCACTCAGTGTCCCTGCCTCCACCCGCTGAGTGCCCCAGACAGAGCTTGAAAGCACATATCCCAGAGCCAGATGGCCCGGGTTCGAATGCTTTGCACTCTGGTGTGACACAGCTCTGTGTCCTCAAGTCACTTCCCCTCTCGGGGCCTTATCTGTCAAATGGAGAGCATGCGAATCCCCCCATGGGTTATTATTAGCACGACATGACAACCCTGATGCCTTCACACTTTTGCACACCACTGACACCTCCTTGGTTGTGTGTGGTCCCCCGGCGGGGACCTGTGCCTCAGTCACATTTGTGGGGCACTTACTGTGTGCCAGACACTGTTCCAAGCACGTGACATGTCATATAGCACAACAGCTCTACACATGAGGAAACTGAGGCTCTGGGAGGTCAAGCTAACCTGGCCACAGTCCCGCAGAAATGGCAGAGCTAGGGTTGGACCCCTGCGATCTGCTCAAGGGCCCACACCTTTAACCACTGGGAGGTGTCAGGAGTCTTCCCCCGGGTGTCTAGTGAGCCCAACCCAGGGAGTATAATGTGCCCCAGGTAAACCATGAGCCCTCTCACATCGTCCCCACAGATGTGCAACATGCTGGGCCTCGGGGACATGAACGCAGACCAGCTGGCCTCCAAGCTGGAGGAGACGCTGCCTGTCATCCGCTCCGTCAGTGAGCAGTTCAAGGATCCTGTGAGTTGCGGTCCAGGCGGGCGGCGAGAAGCTCAGGGGAAAGAGACAGGGCTGAAATCTGCCCCTCCCTGTCCTGTCTTGGATCCTGCAGGAGCAAACCACCTTCATCTGTGTGTGCATTGCTGAGTTCCTGTCCCTGTATGAAACGGAGCGGCTGATCCAGGAGCTGGCCAAGTGCAAGATCGACACGCACAACATCATTGTCAACCAACTCGTCTTCCCTGATCCCGAGAAGCCCTGCAAGATGTGTGAGGCCCGCCACAAGATCCAGGCCAAGTACCTGGACCAGGTGCGCACACCCACCCTCCCGCCCAGCCCTCATATCTCTGACCCTGGAAGCTGGGGTCCGTCCCAGCCCAGCCAAGGCACTGCTGACCTTTTACTGTATTCTCTGACCTTTTGCTCCAGCCCACCTTCTGTTCCTCGCCCCAACCCCCTGCCCTTCACTCACTGCTTCAGACCTGATTCTGGCCTTCATAGACTGGGTGGCCTGGCCTAGATACCTCTCACCCTGGGGAGTGGGAGGTCCAGCCCAGTGGTCTCTGACCTCACTGGCGCCACTCCCACCTATGTCCCTGTGAAGCCCTTGCTCATATTCTCTCCCTGACTCTGGGAGACCCCTAGCCTGACCCTTTACGTTAATCACATTCTGTCCCTGCCCTGTGGCCCTGCTGCCTTCTGCCCTCTACCCCTGCCGCAGATGGAGGACCTATATGAAGACTTCCACATTGTGAAGCTGCCACTGCTGCCCCATGAGGTTCGGGGGGCGGACAAGGTCAACACCTTCTCTGCTCTTCTCCTGGAGCCCTACAAGCCCCCCAGTGCCCAGTAGCACCACCACCAGCCCCAGCTGCTGCCATTTCACACTCAGCCGCCACCCACCGGGGCAGAGTTTGCACAAAGTTCCCCCATAATACAGGGGAACCACTTGGGGGAAGGGAGGCAGGGAGGGGGTCTTTTCCCCCTGGTGGGGCTGGGGGAGCTGTAGCTGCCCCCGCACCTCTCCCCGCCTCTCCTCCCTCAATAAAATGATCTTAAACTACTGTGGATGTTGACATGGGGGGTTGGGGCCTAGTACCTCCATGTACAGTTGCAAAGGTTGTACACTGCACAAAGATGTCACATCCAGAGAGGCATAGATGTATGTTTAGGTCTCTCACAACAGAGACCTAATAGAGATGTGTATTTATTGTGGTAATTTTGGAAGGAGGGTTCTTCTGTAAAGGGGTGCCTTTTTCTAGCTCTATATGGGTAAGGGTGTCCTCTGGGGCTGTAAAGCCTGGAGTAGAAGAAAGGGGCATCTGCCCACTTCCTTCAAGGCTCAGAGCGTGGGAACGGGGAGGCCCCTTGGCCAGCCCCAGGCTGGTGGGGAGCGGATTAGGTCGGCAGCGGGCCCAGCACTGCCTGCTGTTTGGTTTGGGAATTAGTGGGCACCCTGGGCAGAGGCTGGGCCTGCCAGACTGCGGATTAACAGTTTCCACCCCCACCTCCCAATTCCTGTTACAGGGAATGGCATCAGCCCCTCCCAGCACAGGGCTGCAACAGGGGGGCTGATTAAGGGGCAGGATGACAAAGGACTCAGGCTGGATGGGCCCTGAAGTCCTGTCCTGCCCCCAGAGCAGCCTCACTGAGTGGCCTGCCGCCCATTTCCTGCAGTTTGAACTTCAGTCCCCATATTCCTAAAATGGAGACAGAAGTGTGGCCATTCATAGGGCCATGGCACAAATTCACCTGACCCTGGAAGGGTTAGCAAACCAGCCTGAAAGGCATAAAGCAGCACCCCTTTTCTCCTTCACTCCTCCCTCTGCCACTGCCTGGACAGTCACGGTCATCCCCAAGACCCAGGACTGGCATGACCTTGGGTGTTTGCAAGTTCCAAGCTGGAGCTGGATGGGGATGGCGGGAGAAAGGGGGTGACTAAGGATATGCATGAGTCAGGAAGTGGTGTTCAGACAGTGCACACCCAGGGTCTAGGCGTGCCAGGGTGTGTGTGCGAGGGGAATGCAACCACGAGCCTAGACGTGTCCCCCCAGTTCAGTCAGGTGTACACAAGCCCACGTGGGCACGCCCACATTGAGGAGGTGCTTGTAAACGAACATGGCAGTGCAGCCCATGGCAGGACCCCAGGCTTTGAACCAAACTGCCTGGGTTCAGATCCTAGCTGTGCCATGAACAGACTGTGCGTCCTCTGAGCCTCAGTTTCCCTACCTTGATAGCGGGAATAAGGAGCACAAACTTCACATTTCCTGCTTTTGAGGACACAATGAAATGAAATAGGTAACGCCTTTACAGTGGCCCCAGGCATGTACCTGCCAAGGTCTATTTGTTACTATTCACTGTAACAATTAGTAAGCATGTGAACTAGCCTGGGCAACCCGCCTCTGCCCCAGCCCGGGTTCAGCAGTCAGAAGTATGTGGGGACAGTGAGCTGGAGGAGGGGAGATGCGCACGGGGGTCGATGGGGGCTGTGGAGGGGAGGGCTGGCTGCAGTATGTGAGGATACATCCAAGGGAATAGGGGCCTCTGGTCAGGTATGGAGCCCATCAACCTGAAGCCTGTCCCCTCCCCAGTTCCCGTAGCTAGCAGCATCACCCCTCATTCTCTTTTATGTGCTGTCCAGCAGCTGGACGGCAGAGGCATGGGTCCGAGTACAGCCAGTCCGAGCTGGTTCCTAACTACCCCGGGCTGGGCAGACACCTGCCAGGTTAGGAACACTGCGTCCTGGCTGGCCAGACCTTCGGGGGCAGGGTCGAGCGGAGCCATGTGCACTCCTGGTGCTGGGGTCGACTTGAGAGGCTCAGGGGCGCCCCAGGGCGCCCCTCTTGGAGCTGAAACCCTGAGCATCTGCCCCTCCCACACTGGGCTATGCATTCAATGGTGAAGATGGAGGGTTGTTTGTGCCAGGCTAGAGTGCCCCCTTTGTAGGTGTGTCTGTAAAAGGAGAACATCTGTCCTGTATCCATGCCAAATGTGGAGACAAGGTTTTGTGTCCCTAAGCTTGTGTGTTCATGACAACGCCCAAAGTGTTTGAGACCCAGGGTGTGTGTGTGCCTGCCCGTCGCCGCCCGCAGTGAGGGGGTGTTGGGGAGCGTGTGTCTTACACGTATTGATGTACAAATGAATGCAGGTGAGTTTCATGAGGGGTTGTGGCCTGACTCCATCTGGATGTGACCCTCTGGGTCTGTGGGACTGTTGGGAGGGGTCGATGTTGTATGAGTGTGTCTTTGCTACATTGGCATATCAAAGGGACTCCCTAGGACCTGGCTCTGACCCCAGGACTGTGTGCTGCTGTGCTCCTGCATCTGGTGTGTGGCCATGGTGTGTTTTTGTGCAGGGGAGATCAGGAATAAATGTCTGCTACCTCCCTCTGTGTGATGGCTCACGTGTGAAGGCATTCTGGGGTCGGGCTGGGGTCTGCACTTGGCTGGTTGTGTGACCTTGCGTGTGTCTTTATTACATAGTATGATCATGAAGGAATTCAGGGTGCCTGGGTCCCTGCCCCTGTGTTCCTGGGTGGCTGTTTGGAGCACTATGTGGGTGCCTGAGAGCTGAGAGCCTGGTGGGTTAGGGTCCATCTGCTTTATATCTGCGTATGGGGGTGGGGGGGCTAAGTGTTGTCTCTTTGGTGACTCTGGAAGTCTTTGTGACAGTGCGTACTGCTTTCTGGGTCACCGTGGTCGTGGGAGGCTGTGTTGAGGAAAGCTGAATTTGTGTCTGGGTCTATGGTGTGTGTTTCTAGGTGCATCTTTGTGTGTGATTACAGGTGAGTGTGGAGCGACCCAGACTCACTGAGCAGTGTGTGTATATGTCTGAGTCTGGTAAAGACAGGGTTCCTGCCCCCTCCCCCAGGTCTAGGTCCAAGATTTCTTGGATCTGCCAGTGACTGACTGGGAGACTGGACAGGAAGGAGCTGAGGAGGACAAGGTGAATTCCCCACCCCCTGCCCCAGGTAACAAACTGATGAGACTTCAAAGTTCTGAGGCTGCAACTGAGGGGGGAGGGCCAGGGAGGGGCCACCCACGCCCACTCCCCAGCCCCCTCCCTCACAGAATCTGGCTTCAGCCCCACCCAACCCTGAAGCCCGTCCTTTCCCTGTCCCTGAGTGTCCCTGAACCAGCCACCAGGTGAGAAGGACCCAGGCCTGGGGGAATAGGGAACCTTGAGGACGAGTCGGTCTGCGGGCAAGAATCTGAGTCCTCAGGGTAGGGTTGGAGGGCTCAGAAGGCTAGAGGGGAATGGACAGAGGAAAGGTCTAGGTGGATCCAGAAGAGGGAGGGGGCAGAGCCAGTTCGATTAAGTGGGAGGGGGATAGGCTGGGGCAGCTGTGCAGGAGACGGGAGCCAGCCTGAGGCTGAGGGGCTGTGGGGGAGGACCTGGGGCCTGGAAGCTTGGGGATCCGGCTTTGGAGGGCTTCAAAAGGAAGTGCAGGGGAGTGAATGGGCCGAGACTGGGTTAGCGGAGTAGGGGGAGGGAAAGCAGAAGTGGGACTTGAGGGAAGGAAGTCAGTTGGAGCCCTGGGAACATAGAAACTGAGGCGCTAGGGACTCGGGGAGCGGGGGGGAGGCTGTAGATGGCGTCCAGGTAAGGGGTATGGGATCAGAGAGGGCAGCTCGGGTTAACTCGGTGGACCAAGGGCCTTGGCGGTGGGGGATGAACGGAGAGGGCCTGGGGAGGTCGGCGCAGGACGCTGGGACCTGGAGTCCAAGGAAGGGAGTGGCCTGCCAGAGGGCCTTGGGGAGGAGGGCTGGGGGCTAGGGCAGGACTGAACAGGTGGGAGGGGACGGAGAGCTGAGCCAGAGCCGGTACCGAGGAGGTGGCCGGGCGTGGAAAGTGACGCGGAGCTGAGTCGTCCCCGCACCTTTCCACCCTCGCCAGCAGCCTTCCAGCCCGGCCCGGCCCCCCATTCCTCGGCCCCCAATCCCGGGTCCGGTCCAGCCCCCTCTCCTTGGGCTTGACCGGCCCGGGCGCCGCGATGACTGTCACGTACACAGCTTGCGTGGCGAACGCGCGCTTCGGCGGCTTCTCGAAGCTGCTGCTGCTGTGGCGCGGGAGCATCTACAAACTTCTGTGGCGCGAGCTGCTGTGTTTCCTTGGGCTCTACATGGCGCTGAGTGCCGCCTATCGGTGAGGCGGCCCCGGGAGAGGGGGGAGGGCCGGCCGGAGTGGGGGCGTCTGGGGAGGGGCTCCGGGCCGGCCGCGGAGGAGGTGCTGGAAGGGGGACCTGCAACTGGGGACCAGGGCTCGCCCGTGATCCCGCGCCCCCTCCCTCGCAGCTTCGTGCTGACCGAAGAGCAGAAGCGCTACTTTGAGAAGCTCGTTCTTTACTGCGACCAGTACGCCAGTCTCATCCCGGTCTCTTTTGTGCTCGGTGCGTTCGCGCTCCTGAGTTCCCCATTCCCTTCATCCTGAAAAACCCATTGCCATTCATGCCTTTTGGAGACTCCCATTCCTGCCTTTCCGAGACGCCCCCCCCCATCAAAGCCACCCCCCACAAATCCCCATTTCTGTGTCCTTTAGGCCAAGTATGGCCCCAATTCCTGAGACCTTGTATGTCATCTGATCAGAGGGTCCCCTGAGGTGCCCCCAATGAGAATTCCGTGTCATGCATAGGCTTATCCCTGGTCAACTCAGGGGCTCCCATCTGTGTCTGCATGGGATTACTAGTGCCTCCCCTCACATGTACTGAGCCCCAGGGACCCCCATCCAAGAGCCCCACATGACTCCATCCTTTCAAGTCCAGCCTGAGGGGCATCTCTGACAAGTCCCAGCTCCCTGTCCTCAGTGACTTCACTTGACCTCAGCCTTCCTCCCACCATTCTGGGCCCACAAGGATGGGGTGACCAGCCTGCCCCAGGTTCCCTGACTTAGACACCATGCCCAACCCCTTCACACATCCCTGGCTCCGGGGCTCCCTGTGGCTTTGGTGACAACCTGCCTGTGGGCCCTCTGTCTCCACCTCTATACGGAGATCCTAATCTCCCATCCCAGGTGACATCCAAGTAGCCAGGGTGATCCAGCCTGCACCAACCTCTCTGACCTCAGGGCTGAATCTCCAGGTTCCCAGCTCAGGTGGCCCCACATGGTCTGGGTATCCAGCCTACCGCATGTTCCTGATGAAGACCCTATGTCACTCCTCTTCCCATGACCTGGGACCCCAAACCCCTGGCCCTAGTGTCCCAACTGAGTCTCCCATTCCCGGCTCTCCCGCAGGCTTCTACGTAACGCTGGTGGTGCACCGCTGGTGGAACCAGTACCTATGCATGCCCCTGCCCGACGCGCTCATGTGCGTGGTGGTCGGCACAGTGCACGGGCGCGACGAGCGCGGCCGCCTCTACCGACGCACGCTCATGCGCTATGCAGGACTCTCTGCTGTGCTTATCCTGCGCTCTGTCAGCACCGCTGTCTTCAAGCGCTTCCCCACCATAGACCATGTGGTGGAAGCAGGTGAGGCTCCGGCCAAAAGGAACGCGGGGGGTGGGGGGGCGCAAAGACTGAGGGTGGGGCAAATAACCCCCGACCTCGCCCCTCCAGGGTTTATGACCCGCGAGGAGCGCAAGAAGTTCGAGAACCTGAACTCATCCTACAACAAGTACTGGGTGCCTTGCGTCTGGTTCTCCAACCTGGCGGCGCAGGCTCAGCGCGAGGGCCGCATCCGCAACAACGGCGCCCTTAAGCTGCTGCTGGAGGTGGGCTCTCCAGGTGGTCACTCATATCAAATGCCAGGGAAATTGTACCCCACGCACCCTGAGGCTGTGTGTCTGCCATGCGCCTCCCACAAGGCGGGTCCCAACCACCCTTATCTAGCAGTCCCCAGGTGTACACTTAATCTCCATGGGGCGGCTCCTAGGTGCATAGTGCTCCTAGGCGTACACTCACCACTAAATACTCCCCCTGAAGTCCCTAGAAGAACACGCCCGCCTCCCACCAGGTGACCACTCACCTCCATCCCAGGTACACCCCCCCACTTAATCCCCATGTGTGAGCTCACTATTCAGGCCCCCTCATAACGTGTATCTGCCTCCAGGAGCTGACTGTGTTTCGGGCCAAGTGTGGGATGCTCTTTCACTACGACTGGATTAGCATACCCCTTGTCTACACCCAGGTAACCCCGCCGTGCCTCTTTATATCCCGCGTCAGAGGCCCTGGAGCGTTGGTCTCAAGGAGAAACTGAGGGCCAGCTAAGACCCCATCACAGTGACTCGCGATCCTGGCTCTGGTCTCTCCATGACACCCCAAGGCCCAGAGAACCCTGAATTGGCACTCCGTCCTGCCCCTCCCCCAGGTGGTGACCATCGCTGTGTACAGCTACTTCCTGGCCTGCCTCATCGGTCGCCAGTTCCTGGACCCGGCGCAGGGCTACAAAGACCACGACCTGGACCTGTGCGTACCCATCTTCACCCTGCTGCAGTTCTTCTTCTACGCGGGCTGGCTCAAGGTGGGTGGGGCCCCAAGGCCAGAACTCCAGGGGTGGAGCGGGCAGGGGTTTTCAGTTCTCCACCTACCTCTCCTCTTACCCACTCAGGTAGCTGAGCAGCTCATCAACCCCTTCGGAGAGGACGACGATGACTTTGAGACCAACTTTCTGATCGACCGCAACTTCCAAGTGAGACTCTCTCGGTTAAGACCATCCCTGGGCTCCCAAAGCGGCCCTGGCCGCACCCCTGCTAAGACTCGCTCAGACATCGCCCCTGATCCATCCTTCTCTTTGGTCACCACACTCCTACCCATCCAGAGGGGTCCACCCTTCGGTGCCGGCGCTGTTCCATGCCCACTCTTCCCCGCGTATCCTCGCCCGCAGGTGTCAATGCTGGCCGTGGACGAGATGTACGACGACCTGGCCATGCTGGAGAAGGACCTATACTGGGACGCAGCTGAGGCTCGCGCTCCCTACACCGCTGCCACCGCCTTCCTGTTGCAGCAGCCCTCCTTCCAGGGCTCCACCTTCGACATCACGTGAGCCAGTGGGGATGGGCGGGGCCTCTTGGGGGCGGGGCTCATGACTGCGGGGTGTATCTGATTGAAGGGGCTGTGGGTGACCAGGTCGGGGCTAAAGGCTACACCCTGGAGATTCGGGGCTAAGAGCTAAAGTCATGAGGACTAGGACGGGTCAGGGGTCAGGGATCCGGGTCAAGGTCTGGGACCCGGCCACTAACTGGGGGCAGAGCTAAGGGCTACAGTCTATGAGGACTGGACGGGCCAGAAGCGATACCAAAGGACAGGCGGCAGGGCCCCAACTTAGCCTTTTGAGGCCTAAGTTTGAGCATAGCCAGAGCCAGAGGATAAGGCCAGGCTCTCGGGTGAGGAGCCAAGGTCTTTTGGGATAAGTGGGACAGTGGGGTGGAAAAGCAGCGTTCCTCGGTCCCAACTCTGTTGATGAAGAAGGGAGAGGCCGCAGCGCTGACCCATTGTCTCTTCCGCAGGCTGGCCAAGGAGGACATGCAGTTCCAGCGGCAGGACGGCGTGGATGCACCGCTGAGCGAGGCACACGGCGACTTCCTGCAGCGCCTCCTGCCGGTGGGCGCGGGCATGGCCGCTGGAGGCCTGCTGGGCCGGCGCCTGTCTTTACTGCGCCGCAAGAACAGCTGCGTGTCGGAGGAATCCACAGCCGCCAGCTGCGCATGCGCGGGCGCCCCTGATGGCGCGGCCCCAGAGTGCAGTTGCAGTGACGCCCTGCTACCCTTAGGCCTGCCAGAGCCGGAGTCTGAGCCCCACGCCGGCCGCGAGCCGCCAGCCCCCGGGCCACCCGCCGAGCCCTTCACCGTTGTGCCAATGCCCGGGCCCCGGGGGCCGGCTCCACCCTGGCTGCCCAGCCCCATTGGCGAGGAGGAGGAGAGTCTAACCTGAGACCCTTGGACCCTGGATCCCCAAGGATAGAGAAAATGCCCCAGCACCGCCCGCAAGCAGTGGTTTGGGCTTTATAAGCTGCCTGTGGACTCCGCCTGCCCGCTTCTTACCTGCCTGCGTCCCGCCTTTACGTTTGGCACAGAGGCTTGGAGCGCCTCCCGTGGGCCAGGCACTGCACTGAGGGCAGGGTATTCTTCCAGCATCTTTGAACTGTCGGTCCTTACCACCAGCTCTACTTCCTACCCGCCACTGCGTGACAGTTTTTATCAGTGTGCCTTGCCTTTCTTCTTTCCTCAAATTGGACATATGAGTGCCCACCTCAATGCGCTGTGAGGATGAAATGAAATGTGGCTTTAAAGTGTTTGGTACATAATAGGTGCTCAATAAACTTTTAGTGTTTTTTGGTTTGTTTGTTTTTACTCAACTCCTGCCAGGCATTTATGCTAAGTAAGCTTTAAGGAATCCTCCAGATTATTTGATGATGCCCTGCCCACTTCTTCCCAAATTATCTCTGAAATGGCCCCATTAGTGCCCAGGGCTCTACTCATTCATCAATGTAGGACCCCCGGTCCAAGGACCATAGCTTTCTCCTGCCAGCGTTTTTCTTTTTCTTTTGTTTTTTTGCCGCGCGGCTTGCGGGATCCTAGCTCCCCGACCAGGGATCGAACCCGGGCCCAAGGCAGTGAAAGCGCGGAGTCCTAACCACGAGACCTCCAGGGAATTCCCCTGCCAGCCTCGATTTATGCTTCTGCAAGTGACCCCTCTGCCTCAAGCCCCTGCACTCTCAGATACCCCTTCAGTGCTCTAGGTCTTACATCAATCGTATGTAGGTGACTCCTGAATTTAGAAGTCCAGCCAGGATCCCTCCCCTGACTCGAGACTCAGAGAGCCAACTTCCTGCTTGACATCTGCATGTGGGGATCTCACGGGCACCTCGAACATAACATGCCCCCAAACCAGCTCCCTATCAGCTCCCCACCTGTCCCAACCTCTGTCAGCATTGTCCTTCCAGATGATGAGGACAAAACCTGGGAATCACCTTCAACTCCTCTCTTTCTTTCATCCCCTCTCCTTATCAACCCAGTAGCAAACCCCATCAGCTTAGTCTTCAAACTGTATCCAGAATCCAACCATTTCCCATTCCTCCAGGGTCCACACCCTGGCCAGAGCCCTATCACCCAACCACCCACCTGGACGAGTGACCTGGTCTCTCAGCTCCGGCCCTGACACCCCCGCAGTCTGTTCCTCCCATAGGAGCCAAAGGGAGCCTGTGAAAACTTGAATCAGGTCATGTCGCTCCTTTGCTTAGAACACTCTGTGGCTCCCACTTCACTTAGAATGAAAGCTAAAGTAATCCACACACCCTACAAGGCCCTGGACAGTCTGCCTGGTCTTGACTCCCTCCACTCTTCCCCTCACTCACTCCACTCCAGCCACACTGGCCTCCTCACTGTTCCTCTAACCCACTGAGCAAGGTCTCGTCCCAGGGCCTTTACACGTGCTATTCCCTCTGCCTGGATCACTCTTCCCCAGATACCTACATGGTCCCTCCCTCACCTCCTGCAGGTCTCTGCTTCAATTATGTCACTTCAGGGCTTCCCTGGTGGCGCAGTGGTTGAGAGTCCACCTGCCGATGCAGGGGACGCGGGTTCGTGCCCCGGCCCGGGAGGATCCCACGTGCCGCGGAGCGGCGGGGCCCGTGAGCCATGGCCGCTGAGCTTGCGCATGCGGAGCCTGTGCTCCGCAACGGGAGAGGCCGCAGAGTTGAGAGGCCCGCGTACCGCAAAAAATAAAAAATTAAAAAATTAAAAAAAATTATGTCACTTCCTTGGTGAGGCCTCCTTTCCTGGCCTTTTATTAAAAATCACCACCTGGGCTTCCCTGGTGGCGCAGTGGTTGAGAGTCCGCCTGCCAATGCAGGTGACACGGGTTCGTGCCCCGGTCCAGGAAGATCCCACGTGCCACGGAGCAGCTGGGCCTGTGAGCCATGGCCGCTGAGCCAGCGTGTCCAGAGCCTGTGCTCCGCAACGGGAGAGGCCACAACGGTGAGAGGCCCACGTACCACAAAGAAAAAAAAAAAAATCACCATCTCCCAAATCCACTTCCTGCATCCGCATGACTTTTGTCTGCTTTATTTTTCTCTGTAGCACTTCTCACATCAAATATTTTATCTATTTTGTTTATTATCTGTCTCCATTGGAATTGACAGCTTCCTGAGGTAGGGATTTTTGTCTGAAGCTTCTTCAAAACCCACCACACACACATACAGTTACACAGATACAAATATGATTCAAACTTCCTACTGGGTGCTATCGGTCACTCACACTTTAGTAAGAACACAAGCTAGGATTTTCTTAAAAGCACTGACCTGAGCCCCTGGCCTACCTTCTCTCCCTCCCCTCAGAGCCCAGAGTCCAGCCAAGTCAGATTGAAAGTCTTTATTATCTCTCTTCTCAAATATAAAATCACTCTCTCCCCTGGCAGCTCACTAAAATCAAGAATAAGAATCACATTGCTAAAAAGAATAGGCCCATTCCTGCCTCCCGCCTCATCCTGAACTCTCGTCCCACCTGGGAGAGAAAAGGGCAGAGATTATGACTTCAAGGCTCTCAAGCAACTGGCTGAGGCATAATGCTGGGCCCCATGTGAGTCAGGGGAATCCAGGGTGGATTAAGCCCTGATTGGCTGGACAGGTGGCAGGATCCTGAGATCCATCAATGCTTGTCAGTGGGGCGCATGTTCGGGGGTGCTAGGCGTCCCAGGGGTCCGCGGCGAGCGTTGGTGGCCAGCCGCTGCTGTGCCAGGAATGACTGGGCATGGGCAGGTGCCCGCTCTTCCCCAGCTCGCTGCTGCAGAGCCATGCCCTGGAGGGAGGGGCATAGATGGGGTCAGGTGAGCCCACAGGACCCCCATGCCCACCCAATACTTCAGCCATGGCAATGGTGCACTCACCATATTATACCAGGCACTGATGAGCAGCTTTTCTTCCTGCTCTCGCTGACTTCGACTCTTCTCAAAGTCCATCTGCTAAGGAGGCAATAGTCAAGGACCTGGATATGCTGAGGACAGTGAGAAGGGACAAGGACACCCACCTCCAGGTGCCGGATGCGGACATCCCGCTCTCGGAGCTGTGTCCTCAGGGTGTGGAGTTCCGGAGGAGCCCCCCCAGGTGGCCGCTGCTTGGGTTCCAGGGTCTGTATGACCTAGGGGTTGGGGAAGACACAGCCAGGGTGACCTTGGCCTCACAGGCCGTGGTGTAAAAGTCTGTGACATGATTAGACATGACAGGTGTGGGGGCAGGAGGCATGAACCAATGGGAGGCAGCAGCCTCGGCAGAAGGCGTGTAGGGCACCCAGCGCCCGTCCTCACTGTGCGCGCCTTGTCCACGTAGCGGCGGTACCGCTCCTCCATGGCCCGCAAGTCCGCGTCCTTCTTCTGCAGGTTGTGCTGCAGCTCCTCGATACGCCGGGCTGCTGGGGGGGGAACAAGGTGGCCCCTCAGCTCTGTGCCAAGCTTGGGGCTCCCTGCACCCAGCCGGCCACCCAGTCCCACTCACTGCTGCTATCGGCAGGGGGCTCTAGCTCCTCGATGTACTCGCGCTTCCGCTGCAGCTCCAGATCTGCCTCATGCAGCTTCTGCCTGCGGGCAGGGGACCGGCAGCAGCAGGCTGAGCTCTGGGCCCATTTCTTTTCTCCTAGTGGTGGCCACAGCCTTCCCAGCCAGCCAGAAGTGTCCCTGCAGACCTCTCTGCCTGACCCCAAGCCTGGGGGTTATGTGCGCTGGCCCCACCATCTCCTCAGCCATCAGAGTCCCAGCCCTCTACACCCCTCATCAGGTGGCCCCTGGACCAGCCCTCCCATTTGTCCACTTCTCCCCATTCCACAGCCCACTCGCTGGTCCAGGTACCATCATCCCTTGCCAGCCCCCTCTACTCTCAACCCCTCAGTTCCATTCTCTACCCAGCAGCCAGGCATTTTTCTGGAATGCAAATCTCTTATAAAACAAAAGGAAATATGGGACTTCCCTGGTGGCACAGTGGTTAAGAGTCCACCTGCCAATGCAGGGGGCACGGGTTTGAACCCTGGTCCGGGAAGATCCCACATGCTGTGGAGTAACTAAGCCCGTGCGCCACAACTACTGAGCCTGTGCTCTAGAGCCCACGAGCCACAACTACTGAGCCCGTGCTCCACAACAAGAGAAGCCACCGCAATGAGAAGCCCACGCACTGCAACAAAGAGTAGCCCCCACTTGCTGCAACTAGAGGAAGCCCACGTGCAGCAACAAAGACCCAACGCAGCCAAAAATAAATTAAAAATTTTAAACATTTTTAAAACAGGAAAGGAAATGCAAGCTAATAATTGACAGTTCTGCCACCTGTGGCAAAACCCCAAAGATTCCTGTAGGTGAGACTATTATCATGTGTTGGACATGGAACATGGTGTAACATCTAATAGTGAACCTCTGGCTATTTCTACTAAAATTACAAAGGCATGTACCCTGGGAGCCACCCATTGCATTTTTATGTATATTTGCACACAAGCAAAATGATGCCTATATAAGGTTTACTTTCTTACATTGCTTGAAATTGCAAATACCTAGAAAGAATGAGTTAAACACATTACGATATTACAAAAAATGCTATAGGCCAGACCTTCTGGACCACAATTCTACAGGAGAATTAAGCCCTAATGCCTCCAGGTATCCATCCTCTGTAAGGAAATAACTTTCTGTGTTCCAGGTCGGCCTTAGCTTCATTGCATCCTTGGCAGAACTGAGAAAATAGTCACGAAAATAATTTTCTGTAAGGCCTAGTTCCCCTATGGAACCCCAGTTGACAAAGGCTGCTATATTTGAAAAAAAAAATAAGAAGGACTCCTTTATTTATTCTTAAGGAGAAATTTCTCCAGTTAACTTGTTAAGTAGGGAAAGCAAAGTGCACATATTACACTACTTTTTGTGTAAATAAGGAATGATAGTAAAAATCTATACTCATATTCATTTGGATCTGCTTTAAAAATTCTGGAAGGATTTCCATAATAAACTAATAGAAATGAGGGTGGAATGGAGTGGAAACTGAGTCAATGAGGGAGGATTCAGAGGTATACCCTTTATTTCTGTATAGCTCGGTATACATTTTGGTTTTTAAACTATAAATGTGATAGCTATTTAAAATAGTTTCTTTCTTTCTTTTTTTTTTAATAGTTCCTTTTTGGGAATTCCCTGGCAGTCCAGGGGTTAGGACTCGGAGCTTTCACTGATGTGGGCCCGGGTTCAATCCCCAGTTGGGGAACTAAGATTCCACAAGCCACACAGTGTGGTCAAAAATGAAAAACACAAAAAAACAACTTTCCTTTTTAACAATGCAAAAGTAAAAGGTGACTATTACTCTGTCATACAACCTTGTTGCAATTTCCTCTGTGGCACCCCATTGTTCCCCCAAAACATTCCATATGCCTTCCCTTAGTCTATAAGGCCCCACTTGAGCTGACCCTTCAGACTCCCTTTCCTCATCAAGAACTCCCCCATCGACACCGGATCCACCTCCCACACCTTTGCCCCAGCCTTTCCCCCCACCAAGAGTACCCCCACTCTGGGACTCACAGATGCTCCTCCAGCTTCCTCTTCAGCAGGGTTGACTGGAGGAGAGAAGAGGCACTGGGTGAGTGAGGGCTTCAGAGGTCCCAACCTTTTTCCAGACTGAGGGTAGGGGGTGCCACCCTGGGCTCAAGGTACTTACAATGGACTTCACGGGGCATCGGGCAGCAGGGGGGAGAGAGAGAAGGGTTATTGGGGGACACAAAGGAGGGCCAGGCAGGGAGGAGGTGGGCACTCACATCTTCAGTCTTGCCCCCCTGCTCCTGCAGGGCCTTCTGCAGGTCATCCACCTGGGCCCGCAGCTCCGACAGCTGCTGCTGGTTCAGCCTGCAGGGTTGGGGGGCCCACTTAGTGCCTGCGCCCGCCCTCAGCCCCCCTCCAAGCGTGTGAGAGGCCCCCCTCCGCCAGGTGGGTCCTCACCGGTGCTGCATCTCCAGGCCGTGGCGCGCGCGGTTGGCCTCCTCCAGGTGGCGCTGCAGCTCCTCCTGCCGTTCCCGGTCGGCCGCCTCCTGCTGGCACAGGCGCTTGTTCTCCAGCTGAAGCTGTAGGAGCGTCTCCCTGCGGACCGGGAAGGAGTGAGCAGTGCGGGAGATGGGTCACCACTCAGGCCTACCAAGGCTCCAGCAGGGAAACTGGGCAGACGCGGCCAGGAGAGGGATAGAGCCCTGGGGGAAGAGCCCAGCCAGACCCTGGGGTAGGGTTAGAGTACAGGGGACAGCGCCTAGGCATGGGTTGGCGGAGCGCCGGTGGGGCTGGGGGGCAAAGTGGGCGGAGCCATGAGCTGGGTCTAGGGGTGGCGCCAGGGAAGGGTGGGGCTACAGGAGAGGGTTAGAACACTGAGATGCGGCTGCCGGTAAAGTAAGACACTGAAAAGTGAAAAGCTGGGGTAGGAGTTCTTACGGGCAGCGCACAGGGCAGTGAACCTAGCAGGGAATATACTGAGGACGGGGCAGAACCCGTCCTGGGGGCAGAACCCAATGTGGGCAGGGCTGGAGCAAAGGATTTTTGCCTGGGGAGTGGAGACAGATGGGTTGGATCTAATTTGTGCACTGAGGACGGATCCTGAAGAGGTGAGCCACCAATAGGGCTAGAGCCCTGGCCAGGTAAGAGCAGAATTAGGAGTGAGTGGGCCTAGAAGCCCGGCTAGGACTTGGGAACCAAGTTGAGCAGGCCTGGCTAGCGGTAAATACCTGTACTGGGGACGGGGCTGAGGGTGGGCACTGGCAGGCCCCAGTGGGGCCAGAGCTCTGAGTGACCCCAGGATACCTGAGCTCCGCAGGTAGGATCTCGGCTGCTAAGTTTTCCACAGCCGGTGAGGTGGGATCCAGTGAGGGGTCTGGAGAATGTGTGAAAAGTCTTCAGGTGGCTGCACAGTTTCTGTCCCCATCCCTAGGACCCTCTTTCCGAGAAGCATCTTTGGGGGCTCAACTTCGGCCAAAAGCCTGACTTGACCCAAACCCCACCCCTGGCATGACAAGGAGCCATGAGCCTTGGCCTGGGTTTGCCTTTGCCCCACCCAGAGCCCCGATAGACAGTCCCTGCCTTCTGTCAGCCCATGTCACCTCTTTCCACTCTAGCCTCCCTCCTAGCTCTGCCTAGCTGGCCTAGCTCTGCCCCCAACCTAGACAAGCCCTGGGACACTGCCTTTTCTGCCTGCCCTAACAGCACACCAGACCAGGTAAGGCCAGGCCAGCCATCTCCCAGGCCCTGGGATGGGCCTCCAACTCACCGGCTTGGATCAGCCCGCGAGGCTGCAACTGGGCGCAGCGCAGCTCCTCATTGGCCTCCCGCAGGGAGTCCCGCTCTGCCAGCAGCCGCTGGAGGGATGGGATGCAACAGGCCACTTGAGGCTGGATCAGCCTCCTAGGATAGGGGTCCCCAACCCCTGGGCCGCAGACCGGTACCGGTCCGCGGCCTGTTAGGAACCGGGCCACACAGCAGGAGGTGAGCGATGGGCAAGAAAGTGAAGTTTCGTCTGCCACTCCCTATAGCTCCCCATTGCTCGCATTACTGCCCCCAACCCCCAGTCCGTGGAAAAAATGTCTTCCACGAAACCGGTCCCTGGTGCCAAAAAGGTTGGGGACCGCTGGGCTTCCCTGGTGGCGCAGTGGTTAAGAATCCAGGGTACACAGGTTGGAGCCCTGGTCCGGGAAGATCCCACATGCTGCGGAGCAACTAAGCGCGTGAGCTACAACTACTGAGCCCACGTGCCACAACTACTGAAGTCCGTGCTCTGCAACAGGAAAAGCCACCTCAGTGAGAAGCTCACGCACCGCAATGAAGAGTAGCCCCCGCTCACCGCAACTAGAGAAAGCCCGCGTGCAGCAACGAAGACCCAACGCAGCCAAAAAATAAATAAATAAAAATAATAAAGTTCCCTTAAAAAAAGAATCTTATAAAGATTGGGGACTGCTGTCCTAGGGAATGGCCTCTGCCACGATGGGCAGGGTGGGGCTTGGGTGGAGGGACCTCAGCCTCACCTCCTTCTCCTTTGACACCAACTCATACTTTTCCTCCAGATTGCGGCACTCGAATAGCCATTTCTCGGCCTTCATGGCCTCCTCCTGCCGCTGGCCCTGCAGTTCCTGAACCTAAACAGAGGAGAGGGGAGAGGACAGCAGGGTGGGAAGGAGGGGCAGGGACTGAGTACAAGGTGAAAGGGCGGAGCCAGAGGAACCAGCTGAGGGAACTTGGAGGAGGAGGCTTAAGGGGTGGGGCTTACAAGCCTAGGGAGGAGCTGGCTGGCCTAAAGGGCGTGGCCTCTATATAAAAATGGGAGCAGACTCTGGGTGGAAGGACTTAGCACCACGCTGAGGGTGAGATAAGTCAGCGGCCGGCCAAGAGAAGCCCCCACCCCAGTCCAGGTCCAGGCCCCCGCCCGTACCTGCCGCCGCTGCGCCTCTAGCTGGGCGCGCAGGGAGCCGGCCCGGCGCAGCTCTTCCTCCAGCTGCCGCGTGCGCTCTGCGTGGCCGGCGTTGCGCTCCTCCAGCTGCCGCACCTGCCGCCGCAGCTCCCGCAGCTCGCCCAGGCGGCGCCGGCAGCTGCTCAGCGTGGCCTCCAGCTGCCCTGCGCGCTCTGACGACTGCCTGCGGGCGGGGGCAATGGGAAGAGGACGCGGGGTCTGAGGTCAAGGGTTCAGCCTGGATGCGAGGCCCTCAGGGCAGGGGAAGGTGTCAGGTCAGCCTTGGGGCATTTGGGTTCAAGGTGATGGGTCATGAGGGTCAGGGGTCAGCGGGGCCTGGTGGCGTTGGGGGAATCATTAGGGAGCATAAAGGGAGCCCTAAACATCAATGGTTAGCCCAGGGTCAAAATCAGAATCTGGGGGACACAAAAATGACTGTGGGGTTACAGGGGGAATGATGGGGCCCAGAGGTTCTGAGGAGCCCCCATGGACACTTTGGGGTCATGATGTAGCTGTGGGCCTAACAAGGGTATTGTGGGTGCAGGGGCCGTGGTGGGGTCATGGGGGATCTTTGAGGCAGAGCACTGTGGGGCTCCTGAAGGTATGGTAGGGGCTCATTAGGCACTTTAACGTTACAGGAATGCCATGGGGGCCACAGGGGAGCCCTCTGAGGCAACAGAAGGCACAGTGAGGTGGAGGGGTGGGTGCTATGGGGGCCTGCCAAGCACTCTGTGTTTGCAGGGATGCTGTGGAGTCATAAGAAGGTACAGTCATGTGATGGGGGGGCAGAGGGGTCACCAGGGGCAAAGTTATTGCATTGTGCGGTCCTGAAGGGCACCATGGGATGCTGGGGCATGATGGGTCCCAGAATGGTGCAGTGGGGTCTGGGGAGCATTATGACCCCCTAGGCTTGCTGGGGTCACAGGGATCCTATAAGGCAGCGGTCCCCAAACTTTCTGGCACCAGGGATCGGTTTCATGGAAGACAATATTTCCACGGACCGGTGGGGGGTAGGGGGATAGTCCAGGCAGTAATGCGAGTGATGAAGAGCGGTGGGGAGCGACGGGGAGTGGCAGATGAAGCTTCACTCTCTCGCCCTCTGCTCACCTCCTGCTGTGTGGCCCAGTTCCTAACAGGCTGCGGACCGGAACCAGTCCGCGGCCCAGGGGTTTGTGACCCCTGCTCTAAGGTATGTGGGATACAATGTGGGATAACAGGGGGACACTGTGGGGTCCTGGGGGGCACCATGGATCCAGGGAGTTTGGTGTTGTCCAGAGGACAAGGTGGATTCCAGGATAGTGCGGTGGGGTTCAGGATGGTATTGTGGAGTCAACAGGGCATTGTGGGTGCCCACTAGGAATTTGGGGGTTACAGAGGTACTGCGGCATCAGAGGGGCACTCTGGCAATGGGGGTGTGGGGGGGGGACCTGCCACTCACCGAAGTTCATCCATCTCATCCTTCAGGGCCTGTGCCTCCTGGGCCAGGCTGGTCAGCTCCTGGTTCCGCTGCTGCAGCTCGGCGACCTCCCGTTCCAGCTCAGCACAGCGCACGCGCTCGTCCTCCCTGCCGCTCTCCAGCCTGGGGGTGGGGGAAGCATCACATGAAGGGCCTGTGCCTGCCCCAGTCCCCTGGCCTGCTGGCCCTGTCCCCAGCTGACCATACCTGAAGTTCTCTTCCTGCAGCTGCTCCAGCTGGGACTGCAGCAGCAGCAGCTTCTTGGAGGTGAGGCCGGTGGCACCCTCACCCTCGGACCGGCCCACCCGCTCCCTCAGCACCTCATTTTCCTGAACCAGGCTCTGCTTCTCCTCTGACAGGAGTACCAGCTGTGGGCAGGGCATACAGACGAGCCGGAGCTGGGAGAGGGGCTATGCGGGCGGCCCTGCCCTGGGAGAACCTGTGGACCCCCACCTCGGCCCCACCTGCCGCTCCAGGTCCAGACAGCGCTGCCGCAGCTCGTCACCCTCGTCAGCCTCCTCACTCAGGAAGTAGTACCTGCGGGACTGATGAGAGGAGTTGAGGGGGGAGGGTGGGGAGAAACAAGAAACTCAGGGATCCAGGGGAGGAGAATGGGGGAACGGAGGATGGGATCTTCAGGGACAGAGAGGAGGGAGCCAAGAAACCCTCAAGATCTAAGAAGAGAGGGCTGGGACCTGAGGGGACTGGAGAAAAGGCAATTCAGGAACCCTGGGGACCTGGCAAGGGAAGAGGATAGGACCCTGGAGGATGGGAGTGGTTTACAGGCTTAAGGTCAAGCCCTTGCTCCTTAGGTAGCCCTGAAAATCAGTAATGGGGTCGGACCTTTAACAAGGTCCCCACCCCTTACCTGGCTATCAAAGTTCCCATATGTTTCCGGTGACAGGGAGTCAGAGGTGTCTTTGGTCATGAGCTGGAGGGGGGGGGGTGCAGTGGGAGGACATTGAGATGAACTGGGCCCTCTGAGGGCAGCCTCCAAGGCTTCTACAATCCAGCCTAAGAACTACTCCATCCTCCTGTCCCCAAAGCCAGTCCTCCCCAATAACCCCAGTCCAGAGGCTGCCTCATGTGTCCAGCACGCAGGGACTCCTGGTCCTTCCCCACTCCCCAGCCACCTGGCCACACTGCGCGCCTTGTGGGATCCTAGTTCTTTAAACAGGGATTGAACCCGGGCCATAGCAGTGAAAGCGCTGAGTCCTAACCACTGGACCACCAGGGAATTCTGAGGCCTGGCCCTTTTAGTGTGCTAGGTTGTGACTTAGAGCTGGGGGGCGCTGGCAGACACATGGGACAGGGAAATGTGGCCAGCTGAGTTCCAGACAGAGCCCAGACCTTACCACGGCAGAGCCTGTGCCCAGCTGCCTTGGAGATGTCCCCTCCCCTGAAGCTCCTCGCTACAGTGGGCATACCCACCTACCTCCTGGATGGCTTCCATCACCACATGCTGAACTGATTCCTCTAGCGTCATGATTCTCTGGATGTGCTCTGGGGGTCAAGGGGGGGGAGACTGAGATGGAGGGTGGAAGGGCAAGAAGCGTTTCCTCAGGTCTTCCCCTAGGGACCCCCTAACCTCCCATACCCTGCTTCTTCTCGCAACTGATAGCACAGCCCAGCACCAGCTGAAGCAGCTTGCCAAGCTCTTCTGGGTCGGAGAACTCGCCAATAAGGCTTACATCTGGAAGGTGCTGCTCCAAAATGGGATGCCCCAGGACCTGAGGATGGGAGGAGGAAGGGGTATCAGGGGCTGACGGATCCCCCCTCCTCCCAACCCAACCCCCTAAATCCCTTTACAGTTACTCACATCCTGGGAGTACTCCACCAGGCTCTGTAAGATTGTCTTCAGATTGTTGACCTGGGGAGGGGCAAGGAGTTGTGTCCAGGGTCCCAAATCCCCCCAGAAGGGGCCAAGCAGCCCCCACCCTGAATCTGTCTAGCCCATTCTTTTTTTCTCTGTCTCGCCTCCCAATCCCTGGTCATCTCATCCTGTTTAGCCCCATTCTCTGTCTGTATGTCCTCTCTCCTAGGAGTGACCTGTCTGGCTGCCTGCCCTTCTTACCCACCTGCCCATCTTGTTCACGTGTCCCCAGAATCCAGTCACTTCTCACCACCTGCCCCACTACACTTTGACCCTAGCCATCATCATCTCTCACCTGAATTACTGCACCAGCTTCCACTCTTGCTGCCCACCCCTCCATTTCTCTACAAGCATCCAGAGGGAGCTTTTTAAAGCCCAGGCCAGGTTTGTGTCTTTCCTCTACTAAAATCCTTCCTTGACTTTACACAGCACTTAAAATAGAATCTATCTTCCCTGCTCCAGCCTGCCAGGCCCTTGATGATCTCATCTACCATTCCTGCCCCCTTGCTTTCTGTTCTGACCCCCCTGCCCTTCCTCGATCACACCAAGCTTATTTCCAACTCAGGGCCTTTGCATTTGCTGCTCGCTGTGTCTGGAATGCTATTCCTCCAAATCTTACATGGAGATCAGCCCATCTGGAGTAACAACCCACCCACTCTCAGTTGCTCTCTCTCTCGTGGCCCAGCTTTTATTGTCTTCATAGAGCTAATTGCCATTGGAAGTCAATGTTAATGTTTGTGTATGCAGGGTTTTGTCTGTGTTATTCCTTGCTGCACACCCAGGCCTGCTTAATAGAAGAATGAAGGAATAAATACATAGTTGGCTGGTCACCATACATCTGTCCCTCTTCCTGTCCAGATCTGTTTGTCCATCACCCAGGACATGTCTAACTGACCCTTCCCTGATCAACTCTTCACCAGTCTGTCCCCCATTCATGAGTCCACCTGTCACCTTCAACCTCCGGTTGGGACCTGGGTCGTCTGAGATGCCCTGGAGCCATGCCTCGTTGAACCAGGAAGGGTCTCTGGGGGTGAGAAGGTGGGATGAGCTGCTGGGGGACCCTTTTGGGACCCTCCCCCTCAGCCCCACTCACATCTGGTTCAGCACATAGGCTACTGCGAGGCCACTGCTCAGTTCCTGGGGGCTGGTACAGGGGGGCGGGACATGGAACGTCTGCAACTGGTGGGGGAGAGGAAAGTGCAACAGGCATTATCAGGGCCTGGGACCACGGAACAAAACCCCTTTTACAGACTTTTCCGGTCAGCAGGACCCTCACATGCTGGGTGGGGGCTGGCCTGTTGCTCCAGCAAGCCAGCTCCGTGGGGGAGTGGCTTCTGCTCACCTGGACGGACCGGAGGGGGCGTGGCCTCATTATACCTCTGCCCAACAAACCCCGCGCGACCAGGCGAGGGCAGACCACGAGTCACTTGGTCCCCATAGGCACCACGTGACCAGGCCAGCTCACCTGTGCCCTCGCCCCACATGACCCAGCCACTAAGGGGCGTGGCCTCACCTGCTCTTTACACGCAAACCTGACACTTGACGGGTCAGGTGCTCAGGCCAGAGTGCAACGGCCTGGCAGGCCGACGACCCCTTCCTCCTCCCTGCCCCAGGACGGAAGGGCGCACAGAGCCAAGGTCGGGGCTACCGGGCGAGAAGAGAGGGCGTACACCTGTCCCTGGCCCCGCCCCCGACCTACCCAGGTGAGCAGAGACCCGCATAGCTCGGCCTTGTCCACGCTCATGGCTCCCGATTGGATTCGACCCCGGCCGCGGAGCCCTGCCACCGCAGCGGCGTCCAGATCCGCCACCAGCGAGCGCCCGCAGCCCCGACCTCCCGCTCGGCCTAGAGCGCCGCCCCGCCCCCTAAGCGCAGGCCCCGCCCTGGACACGTGATCTCCTCCCGGCACCAGCTCAGGGCTTCAGACCCTCCATCTTAGATCCGGGAAGCTTTTGGGCGCCAGCCTGCCGCTAGGGGTCAGTCTGGACCAGCCTTGCGCATCCCAAGGGTGGCTTCACCTCCCCTCCTCCCCGAGCTCTTTTTGGGGTAGCGGAGACTTCACCGTCGTTCCTCTTCATCAGAGGCGGAGCTGCCCCACCCTGTTGTACAGGCGCATTCTCGTCCCTTCCCTTCGGCTGAAAGAAATTCTGCTGTCTAGCCACATTATGATCAGAGCCTTTGCGCAGGAGAGGGGCAGGTCTTAATATATTCTGTGGACTTGGAGGGGGAACAACACTAAAGGGTTCTTCCCAGTGTAGGTGACTTGATAGTCTTGCCTAGGGGTAGACAAGGGGATTTGGGTCCTAAGTCGACGGCAGGATGGGTCAGACACATGTCTTAGGTAACGGACAGACTTATTTGCCTAGCCTGGATCCGTCCTCCACTGAGCTTTCCCTGCCCTTTCCCCTCCCTGAGCCCCGCGCCTGGGCCCTCCTCCCTCAGAACCCAGGACGGGGCCGCCCTGATCGCCACGGCCCACCCGGGGCGCCCAGACAGCAGGAACGCGGCCTACGGGGAAAAGGATGGGCCCACTCTGAGACCCCGTCTGGGCAGTGAAGGGGGCTTAAAGGAAAGTGCTAACAATACTAGTTAACAATAAAATCGCAGCCACCATTTATGGGGTGCCTACAAAATGCAGTCTCTGCGCTAAGCGATTTAAATATATAGATGGTTGAAATCTCCACGATTCTAGGTGGCAAGTGCTCTTTAAATTCCCGGTTCGCAGACGAGGAAACAGAGGCTCTGGGTGGATTCGGCTTTAAGGGAGGGGTTAAAGCACCGGACCTCTGACGCCTGAGTTCCCCGGCAGTCCCTCCCCTGCGGAGCGGGCGAGGTAAAGAGCAGTAATTAGAGGTTATTAGCTGTACCCAGAGAGAGGGGCGGACTCTGCTTTGGGGGTGGGTCTAGGTCTGAGGGGCGGGGAGCTGCTCCCTCCAACCCAGAGTCTGGCTTCGGCGACCCTGCCCCCGAATGGGTTGAGCAGGATGACTACAGCTCCCCTTTCCCCCCCGCACTCCTCCGCTCCCCGCACCGTCGCAGGAACACAATCACTCTAGCACCAGACTCCAGGTTACAGCCCACTCAGACGCACAACTGCACGCACGCAGGGGCCTTGGAGGCTCGTCTACACACCCACATCCCCTTCCGAGTTGTTTTCAGCCTCCATCCCCTGGGAGTAGAGTGGAGTGGGGGGGAGTAGGGAGGAAGGGGACAAGGGCCAACAGTGCCGGCTTCCGGACAAGGCTGCCTTACGGCGGCGGGCGTGAGAACAGCCGCCGCTGATTCCCTTATCCCGCACCCACTAAGGAGAGGGTGCTGCCAGTAAGGGGAAGCGGGGCCCCCCTGCCACCAGGCAGAAGTGGAAGGTGAGCTGGAGCTATGGCTGTTACAAGGAGAGGAGGCTGGGATTATTTGTGAGAGGACCTGGTTGCCCAATGTTGGGAGACATGCTAGGACTGCCAAATATTTGGGAGTGGGGTCCCCAATACTTGCAAAACCCTCAGGGATCTTGATGTTTAGGAGGAATCTAAATATTCGGAGCATGGACTTGAATTGTTTTAACGTTGCCATGATATTATAGGCGTTATAGATGTTCAGGGAGCCAAAAGTCCCCAGATTTAAAGGAAGGTCTGGGTGCCCTCACGTTGGGGGAGGAGTCACAGCCCTCCATTTGGGGCGGCAAGGAATCTCATGTTTGGGGGGAAAGGGAGCTCCCTACGTTGGCAGGGAAGAGCAGCAATCCCTATTATGTGACGCAGGGAACCCCACCGTTGGGGGCATCAGTGTGCCTTCAATCCAAAGAGAGGGGTCACAAACCCTCATTTTGAAGCAGGGATCCTTTATTTGGGGGAAGGATTCAAACCCCCCACTTTCGGTGGAGAGAGCCCCAAAGTTTGGGGAATGATCTGGAGGCCTCCATTAAGGACAGGGTGCAGGTCTGGACTAGCAGCCCCCAGCTGGTTTGGGGACCCCACCCCCTCCTCTCTGTTTCCAGGAACAGCTGGGCCCAGCCTGGGCTGTACTGCTGGGAAGCGGGTGACTCAACCCCTCCCTGCGGCCACAGCTGGACCCCCGCCCGCCCCCTCCGGCCTTCACATCTGGGCAGAGACCCAGTCATGAGAGCTGGGATGGAGACCCTAGGTTCACACATTTGGAGATGGTGCCCCTCCCCCACCCCCGGGGCTGACCACAAGCTCAGGGTGGACACCATGCCCCATACCGTGAGGGACTCCGGCAGGCTTTCTGCTCTCCAGACACTGACATTCCACCAGGACTCCCATCCTGACCCCCTCCCCGGGTCTGTACATGTCTCTGAGTCCATGTGAAGTGTGTTCACATCTATGTAGGTGTGAGATGGTGGGTCTGTGATTGTGTGTGCACAGGCCTATGTGTCTGCATCTGCCTGTGTCTTGGTGCCCTGGGAATTTACCCAACAGGCTATGTGTGTGTGATTTGGTGGTTTTGGGGGGTGCTGTCAGGGACTAGGGCACATGCTTCTCTTTATGGGAACTTGCTGTGTGTCTATATCCCTAGGTCATTCTTTGTGTGAGAAGTGAATGTATGACAATCAGTACTTCAGTATGGATTTAGGTTGTGTTTCTGTGACCGTGTCCTACTTTCTCTCCATCATGTGTTTTTCTGTGATAGCATGAGCCTGTCATGTTTGTCCTTGGTTTATCCATGTCCCCGAGACAATCTGGTGTCCCTGTGTGTGGCCTTGTGGATTGTGTCTGTGACCCTACTTTACTTCATGTGTCCTACTTGTGATGTCTGCGTGACAGCATGACCGTCGTGTGTCCGTCCCCAGCATGTGTCTCTGTGCCTCTACAATCTCCATGTGAGAGGAGTGGCTGTGTGACAACTGGAGTCCTGAGGTCCAAGACTTTTATCTATGTCTTACTTTGTCTTGATGGTGTGGCTTTATCGGAGTGTCTGTATATGCCACCTATCTGTGTATGAAAATGGCCCTACCACAAACGATGTGTGACAGTGTGACCCTGCCCACATTCGCCGCGGAGCTAGCTGGACTAGTTAATGTTTGTGCCAACGTGTGGCAGGTGTATCCTGTGTCCGTGTGACACTGTGGATCTGAGAGTTTGTGACCTTGCGTGGGGGGGTGTCAAAGTCACACAAGACAGCGTGAGGAGGCGGTGATGTGCTGGGGGGGTGCGTCAAGCGCCCGGAGTCCTGCCGCTCTCGGCCCCTCCCGGCGCTGCGGGGGCGCGTGCGTCGTGCGTGACGTGAGGCACGACGGGGGTCGCTGCGTGCGTGGAGCCAGACGCGATCGTGCGTGCGAGCGCGGGGGGATGGGCTAGCTGCGTGCGTGCGTGCGTGGGCGGCCGCGGGGGTTAGGCGCGCGGGGGAGCGCGGGGCACAGCCCCACCCTGGCGGGGACTTTGGGCGCGGGTGAAACCCGGGAGGGGGCTGCCGTTAACCCCTTCCTGCCCGACCTGAAACTTGTGGCCCCTCGATAGAGCGCGCGGGGGGTTCCCCAGCGCGCGGGGACCGTCCCTGACGAGGGAGGAACCCCGCCATCGAGCTGAGAGACCCCTCGGTTACCATGGGAACCGGAGCTTCCCGCGCGGCCGGGCTCGTGCTTCCTCCCCCCTCCCGCTCTTCCTCCAGCTCCGTATTCCACCGACAATGCGCTGCCCGCTCCTGGCCTCCTGGTCTCCGGGGAAGGGGCTGGGGTCAGCGAGGCCCTGGCGTGCGTGACTCAGGCCAGCTTGAGGGTCCCCTGGCCGCAGCCGACCTCGCTCCCCTTCTCCACCCCGTGACTCACCCCTCGCGGCTTTCCCCTTGTGTGACTCAAGCCCTTGGGGAGGGGGCTGCGGACTCTGAGACCCCCCTCCAGGCAGTGGGGGCTGAGAACCGAGTACTGGAGGCCTAGAGCTTAAGGGGTGGGGCTCTACCTCCGGCGAGGGTCGGTGTCTGGTGTCTTCCCTTAGACATCCCTTGCCAAGGTCACTAGAGCCGTTTCCCCCACCCCTGAATTGGCAGTACCTACCCCCCATCCCTCTGGGAACCCAGCCCCCAGCCCCTCCCCCATAGCCCACAGGAAGTTTTTGCAGAGCCCATCGGCGATGAAACGGTTAAAGCCGTTTTCTTATTCATTTCATCCAGGGGCTCCTTTTGACTCAGAGCAAGCCAGGCGCCCCCTTGAGCCGGGCCTCGTGGGGGCCTGCGTTCATACTCCACCCCACATGTACCATTTTTAGAGAGGGGAGGGAAGGCTGTTGGTGAGCTGGCTGGGGGTCTTGGGTAGCATACAGGGTTGGGTTCAAATCCTGCCTCTGCCCTCATTACTCTCTGGGTCTCGGTTTCCCCATCCGAAAATGGGGAATAACTATGACCCACTTATTGTGGCGTTGTGGGATTAAGTGAATAATAGATGGGACGCTTTGTTCCCAGAGCTGGGCAGAGGAGCAGGGAGGGGGCTTGGCCGGTAGAAGGACCCAGGCTCCTCCTGTCTCTCAGGCCTGGGTGTCAGGGTGACCAGCAGAAGCGAGTCCTTGTGGGGCGCGCCATGCCCCACCCAGGCGCTCTGAGGCCATGGGGTTCATCCCGTCCACCCCCTGCCCGGGGCAGGCACCCAGGAAGTGAGAGGCGGGGCAGGAATGAGGCGGAACCTGTTGGGCCCGTTGCCTCCCCACCCCTCACCCTCATTCCGGGGCCCTGGCATGCCCCCCGCCACGTTGCGGCCCCACCCCCACCGCCCTGGACGCCTGGGTCCTGACCCGACGGTGGCCCAAGGGAGGGGATGTCGGCGGAGACAGCGTCTCGGGAACATCCTGTGGACTGCTGGCTGTGGACTGCTGGCTGGACAGACCGGAGGGTCAGCCCCTCCC